ACATATATCTAAATCTGCCAGTGGCTGTTTTAATCTAATTTAATATGTTCCAATGAGAAGCTGGCTAATTTCCAAAACCCCTTTTTCTTGATGAAGCCATTTGAAAGACATTAAAAAGATAAGTGCTAAAGAGAGCTAATTAGTTTCACTCAGAAGGGCCTAAAGGTAATGAGAGGTTGTGTCTGATCCTACTTTGATTTTACTTGATGTTAGTTTCAGAAAGCTGTCAGACTTGATTTGATGGTGTCTATAATAAACTCTAACAGTGCAAACAGTGTAAGGTAAGGTAGTGTTTTCCACATAGTTGCATTTTTCCTACTCACCCGTCCACAAGGTGTGCATTCGATAACACTCAAACATTCAAATTGTTTTAGTCATGCAAATGGCGAATGTCAGTCTGTTGGCCGGTCCAACACTCAAATATCTCAACAACTATTAGATTAACTGACCATTTGCAACAGCTGTAAATGTAAGCAGGCTAACGTGCTGTGAACATGGGAAACATTATACCTGATAAATACCTAGCCTGTCTCACTCCAGGGCGTCAAGCAGCGACGCTTTGAGAAAGCCTGACAAATCGTTGCTGTTTGACGCACAAGGTGCCCTTCAACGTCCATGTGAGACACCCTGGGCCAGACTCCAATGTAACCCATCTGCTGTCTGAAACCAAAAGTCAAAGTTCAGTTGCCGACTTATGTCGCGTAATGTAGTTATTTCAGCCCAAACCATGATGTTTTCCTAAATCAAGTGGCTCTGGTTCCCAAACCTAACCAAACTGCGACCGTTTGACAACACTAACCACATATGAAAAAGACAGCACCTTGTGTGACAAATACAGATGCTTTGTCAGGCTTTCTCAAAGCGTTGGGATTTGACGCCATGAGATGAAAATGTGTTGAAATATCAAATTTCATGGCAAATCATCCAAAAGACATTTCAGTCTGGACCAAGTTGGTGGACAGACTGACATTGCTATCTGCACAGTAGGATTGTATTACTTTGATTTATTGTAAAGCCCTTTGTAGCTTTGTCTATAAAAAACATTTATGTATTATTATTATTATTATTACTGCCGCCATGCCGCTTGTGTGGCTAAAATGTGCTTATATCTGCTAAATAACAAAATTATAGTGTGTTCAAAACAATGAGGTGTTTATATCCTGCTAACTGATAAATAGGTATGTTTTCAAACTTATAATTTACTTTTGGTTATATAACACTTAGTCAGCAGACCATCAGTAGACTCAATTTGAAATACCAGTGAGCTACTGTGTACAACTTTTCTTTGAACAATAAATCCTCAAACACCTCGCAACGTTGCCAGGAATAAAATACTCGTGCAATATGAGTTTTTAATTAAATAATAAAAATGATAAATATGACAGCTGCAGCTGTCGAGCGGTGAAAGCAGGCAGAGAGAAACCTGGATCAGTCTGAAGTTTCAGCTCTAATGCGAGTAACAGACTCTGACTGAGCGGCTTCACTTCTCCAGAAACACCAACAAGAGACAATTTTCTACCTCAACAAACAAACAAACGCACATTGAATGTATTTATATTCAGCTTTACTAAGATCCCCTTCAAAAGATTTTAATGGTAAAAGCATTAATACCATAATTTAAAATACCTGCATACATTTTACTTTGGCCAAAATACAGAAATATTGTCAGAAAGATGTACTTAAGGTATTTAAAGTACAAGTACTCCTTATGCAAGCAGAATGGCCAGCAGAATTATTAGTGCTGGAGAGAGCATTTACTCAACTACTGCACTTGTTTGAGGTGCTTGTATTTTTTCTTTTAATAGTAATGCATTTCAGAAGGAAATTTACTTTTTACGGCACTCCATTCATCTGATAGCTATTCAAGAGTTTTTGCTTTGCAGATAAAGACTTTACACACAGAAAGTGTGCTAGGCATCTAAAATATGACACTGATTATGGATTACAAGAGTATATACAGTGATTCAAATTATACTTAAACATTAAACAGATTTTACTTTAACACCCTTAAAATTAAATCAAACAAAATGGCATGAAATACAAATCTCAAGAAGTCACCTTGATGCACATGCTGTCACTTGTAAGTATTTTTTACACAAGGTTTAAGGTTCACAGTAAACTTATACACTAATACACACAGACACCACAGAGGTGTTGATGAATTATCCTATAAAATGCTGACAAATTCAAATATACATCATATACAGTATACAATCTGAATAATAACAGAGTAAATAACAGTTCGAGCAGCATTTTCATGTTGGAGCTGTTGAGATTTTGAATACTTTTATACCGTTGGCTAGTTTAATTAATTACGAGGTTAAAGCTGAGCATATTTTTGCATGTACTATTACTTCGTTAACTGTTAATCATGTTGTCTGTGAATTTTATTGCCACACACAAAAGTCCAAATGTTGTTTCAATTAAAGCTCCTCGCTGCCAGGAAATAGAATCAGTTCAGGAAATACTAAACCCTTAATTTATTTGTTTTTTGACCAAACTGAAATATTCTAAGTATAAAAATACTGCGACAAGCCGATAAAATACCCACCTCACCATGTGTTCCTTTCATAAACCCAAATTCAGAGAAAAAATAGCGAGAACATTACATCCCTGTTTGTAAATGACAAAAATAATAATAACCCAACAATATATTATATTATTGTGCTTTTTGATTCTTTGTATTCACTTTCCAGATAATAGTATCATTTTGAATGCAGTACTTTAACTTTCTCCTTTTGCTGTGGTATCATTACTGCTTAGTCCACCACAGATTTGTGTGTAAAATGTTTTTAATTACAAAATTTCCCTCTGAAATGTAGTGGAGTAGAAGCAATGACGGAAAGTGACCAAGTACATTTACGCAAGTACTGTACTTAAGTATTATTTTTGAGGACCTTTCTGCTGCTTTGTACTTCTTCTCCGCTACAGTTCAGATGCAAATGTTGTACTTTTTACTCTGAAACATTTATTTAATAACTTCAACATCTTTGCAGATAATAATACAAAATAAAACCAACAAATAGATGATGATATATTATTATATATATAGTTTTTCAACACTGTGGTATTGTTACTTAAGTAAAATAGCTGAGTACTTCTTCCACCATTGAGCACAAGTAAAATGTTACAAGTAATGTATAATTGTACTTGACTTGAGTTAATGTACTTAGTTACTGTCCACCACTAGAATATAATACTATAATATAAATAAAACCTATAAGCCAACATGCTATATTACATTTTGCTCCTGTTGTCTGTGGGCAAATAAAGCATCCATGATTTCTGACATTTTCTCTCCAGACTTTAAATAAAGACCTGGAGCTTTATTACAGAATAAATGTCCTACCTGCGTATTTTAAGTTTTAAAGACAGGAAAAACCCCATCTTCCGATTACAGAAGCAATTCCTGAGCTCATGGCTGTGTCCTGTCTCATCTCAGACCTCATGTCTCAGACACATTAATCGAGTCGGTGGAGAAGCGGAAACCTTTTGTGGGAAGTTTTCTTCCAAATAATAAATTAAATTCAAGATTATCATCTCGGCAGTCGATATTTCCCGTCTTCAATGTAATTGCCATACAGACCTAGCATTACATTACATTTACATGTTGATGTCAGAGGTCGCACGCCTCTGGAGCAACTAGGGGTTGAGTGTCTTGCTCAGGGACACATTGGTGGATGAGCAGTTTGAATTGAACCCGGCTCGGGTGTTTTATCCACTTTGTGCCACCTCAACAACAGTAAGGATCTATGCCAGAGGTTTTCAAATTGGGAGGTGGGCTCCAAACTTTTTCGGGGGAGGCTTAGTGAATGGAAATGCAAAAAATAGTGATCAGTAGATCACAATCAATGTCCAGGATTTGGTTAAAGAGACTGTCTGTCCCACTTTCTCAGAGTCAGAAACTAATAAATGCCTTAGGAGATAGCTTTGTATGTATTTTGTGTCCAAAGTAATGTCAAACTTTAATATTAGGTTATCTCAGCTCAATTTTTCAGTGCCTATGGGATAAAATAACATAATAATATTAAAATTAGCAAGTAAACTAAGGGAGGGTGAGGGGACACCTTTTTCCAAGACTTCTCAGAGGGGAGTCCCACTGTCTCAGACACTGAAAACCCCTGGTCTATGCCATCCTAACTTAAGACTCCAAACTTTAGTTAGTTCTTCACTTAGGATAGTTATTTAATAGCTAAATTCCTAAATAAGATTTGCAGACATGCCTTTAGATAACTTGTTTCTGTAATCAAGGGCGACACTTTGTGGTTGGGACATAAGGGCTCAGATAGGGACGATACACTTAGCTCACCAGACGTGACGATACACAATACTAGGGTCACTAGAACGAGACGAGAAGATGTTTTAACACTATTTTGAAGAAATATTCAATGCTGAAATATTTGAGTGGATGGTCAGGTGGTCCTCCCCTAGAAGATTTTGAGCATTAAACACTTCATTTCCTGCATTCTGGAGACATTGCACCAATTAATGGTGGAAATATATTTATTTATATAAAAGGAAACACAAAATTCAGGTGACAGGTGATAATTATGATATAAAAATATAAAAATGTAATGGAACAAGATGCAATAATGAGTAACTTTGTTTTATCTTGCATTACTTTTTTGGACTACGCACTAGTTTCTTCTTGGCTATGTTTAAATTGCATTGCATGTTTTCTTACTGTGCAAATAAACCTAAAAGCATTTTCATTTCATTTTCTTGTCACAAGCTATTTTTTCAGAACATTTTCATCAAATGCTTTCAAAAAGTGATGAGGACAAAATCTGCCATTTCAAAAAGTGGTGGGGACATGTCCCCGGCCTCCCCAGGGGAAAAGACACCTATGTCTGTAAATCCAAAAATCCTAAACCATCCTGAACTGGGATTTCAGTCTGAGGCTCCTGCAGATGAGAAACGCTGTAGTGCAGAATAAGAAGCAGCCCAGTCGCTGTTCCACTTGAGATCAGCAGAGGGAAACGTTGGACTCTTTTTTTTTTTCTCTCCACCTCAGACAATAAAAACAAGGCGAAGCCCGCACAGACGGCAGCATCTCAGCACCCTTCAAAGCCCGACATCCGAGCAATGTCTGAGGAGTGAAAGGCTCTCAAACGGCAGGGAGGAATATGGATTCACGGCCGCCGAGCTGGGACTAGAGATGTAGTTGCGAGGATGCCGGCCAGCTACATCTCTCGTTTGCTCCTCTTCGCCTCGATCTGCGCGGTTTGGGAGGCGCTGGCAAAATCTCTCCCAGATCAGGGAGCATTTGGTAAGCTCGCCATACGGGGGATGCAGCACAATGAGAAGATGGGAGTGGTTGCATTTTTATGGCTTTTGTCGACAAACCGTCGGTCCTTTGCGGCGCTGCGCTCTGATATCATGTTGGCTGAAAGGAGGTGGATTTTAAGGGACGGCTTTTTAGTGATATCCGCTGGATAACGTTAGTTTCATGGTATATATTCATTAATATCCATGAGGTGGTGTCACAGAGAGGGCCACGCTTGTGTTACTATACTCAATTACTGCACAGATGTGTGTGGTTCGACAATCAGCGTGCAGACTGCGCTAGAGCTTAGTCTGTTGTAATGTCAGGCCTAACTTACTGTAACCCAGGCCTTCGTGCGTGTGTTTAGCTTTGCATAATGACAGTGAGATCAGGGTTGGCCTGAGAGCCAAAATGTGTCAGTCATAAACCAATAGACACGTTTGTGTATTCAAAAGGCCCCAAAATTTAATTTGCATGAAGCAAAAGCACTGATCACATGTTAAATAATGATGCAGCAGCAGCTTTATGTAAAAGCGCCCTTGTTTATATTATGGTGTGCATTGTGAAGGACATTATGTAATTACATTGCATTATGTATGCTTCAAGCTATTTAAAGGTGCATGGATGGTTACAGACAGTGCTGGATTGTAACTATAAGTACTTTTTGAGTTTTGAGGTAGAATAGCGTTTTATGAAACTCCACTACACCTCAGAGGGACATATTGTTCTTTATATGAGAGCTATAGTTACTTTGCAGGTTGACATTGTACACATAAAACACATCATATACATTGGACAACAAAACAGAACAATTTGCTGCAACATTTAAATTCTACTTACACATGACAGCTTCAGTAATAATACATATCACAATATAACAGACTGAAAGGTGCAATTGTGCATGATGAGTGTCGTACTTTTACTTTTGATACTTTAAGTGTACTGTACTTTCTAGGGGTGTGGGGAAAAAATCGATACAGCATAGTATCGTGATATTTGCCATGGCAATACTGTCTCGATACATGGGCGCTAAGTATCGATATTTTATTATATAAATTGCAGATGGGAGTTTTAACTTTTTGGTGCTAGAATAATAAAATCTATTGCTTTTTTGGGCCACAAGAAAACTTAACAGGACCATATAGAGGACTGAAAAGGTGATAAATGAAAAAACAGAGAAATGTATCTTTTTAGATAAACAGATGTTGACAAAGTTTGACTTTAGGGACCTAGTTGGAAGTTGGAAAAAGGTAATAAATTGCAATATATCTCAATATATTTAAAATCGTAATAAAATCGAATCGCAACATAAATATCGTGATAATATCGTATCGTGGGGCCTCCTGGGTGATTCCCAGCCCTAGTACTTTTACTAGTACTAGGTTTTGATTGCTGGTTTGTAATTATCTTGAAATTAGGGGTTAGGGAATATTTTTACACCATATTTTAATACATGCCAGTCTTGGTAATGAAGAATTTCTACATTGTTGTACTGTTACTTTAAAGGATCTTACTTCTGCTGGCCACAGAGCAGTTTTTGAACAGCTAAAGTGTGACTTTTCTGTCCTTTTGTGTCAGTTAGAGCCTAATTTAGATTAAATTGTAATGGATTTTTCTCCCCAGCTGCTGCATGACTGATTAAAAAGTCAATTAATTGATACCTCAGGTGCGTTTTGGAACAGCTCAGCACTTCTCCTGAGCTGCAATTACTTGCAAGATGTTGTGAAGCAATTATCGTCTAAAGAAATGTGCAGTTTTGCACAGCACCATGATGTCGAGGATGTTGTGGTTTAAAGCTGAAACAATCAATCGCCAGAAAATCAATCGGCAACTATTCTGATACCAGATTAGTCATTGAAGTCATTTTATTTTCACTTCCAGTCTGTGAGAGGTGAATAATTGCTGCTTTCTATGATATTACACTGATTTTTGGGGGCGGGCAGTTACGCTCTTCTAACATTTTTAAAGCAAACAATTAATACATTATTGAGAAAACAATTGCAGATTGATTGATAATTAAAGTATTAATTATCAAAAGTCTTACTGTGCTTCTAGAAATTTGTGATGATCAGTAGGAAAAGGTGCAGTAACTGTTGATTATATTTAACGAAAAGGGTAAAACCCGATAGCTAAATGACTAAATTCTCACAAAATATCAGCTTGAATTTAAGTTATAAGGATTTATCTCTAGAAGAAGGGGGTTTACACTCCACTTAATCTCAGCTGAACTTCTATTCAAGCCCTTCGCGTGAGGGAAAATTCCCAGACCCTTGATGTAACACTGTGACTCTCAGTGTTTGTGTCAGTGGAGCTTCTTCAAGCCGCAGAGTTTTCAATGTGCAGCCCAGACGGAGGAAATCCTCTCTTCACACAGACACACAAGGGAGCCTTTATTGAACAAATTATGGTAATGGATGACAGCATTTACACACTCACAATGGATAGGGACACACAAACATACACATGCATGCTTATTATGTGAGTGCACCCATTAGTGAGGCTGCTGCTGTCACTGAGAAGCACCTCATAGCAGGGTTGTCACTAGAGGCCTGGGGGGGTTTAGAGGACGGTCGCTACAGGGAGCTGAGCCGAGTGAGGAAGCAAAAACAAGCCAGCTTTTGGAGAGTCAGCGTGTATCCATGGAAACATCCCCAGCGTGACCCACATCCGCGCTGTCCAAGAGGCAAGATGAGAAACAAAATGTTCTGGGGCTGGAAAACATGGGAGGATGAGGGCCAGAGAGAGCCACGCGATGGATTTGTGACGGGTGCAACATGTTTATAATAATCGTCCACCACAGATGGAAATCATTAGTCCACACTCGAGGTTCTGGGAGAGACGTGAGGCAAAGATATTGTGTGAGGTGAAAGGGACGTTAGGGGTTCGTAACAGGAAGTTAGTTATTGTAGTCACAGAAAACCGGTGGCTCCAGAACTTGCCTGAAAATCCTCATGTTTTTAAGTATTCTTCAATATTAAAGTAATCCAGTGAGAGTTGTCTGTACATCCATGTGTACACTGCGAACAGGAACTGCTAATATCAAATTCAGCACACTTTTAATGGAGTCAATGGCAACATGCTTCCTGTTTACATCCCCTAAACTGAAGTTTCAAAACTAGAGAATGATGATCCAGCAAATATAATTAAGACAAAGAAAAATAACAGGAGCTATAAAGTTTTTTTTGTGTTACACTATGTGACCTTTGTTGAAAACCTATGGTAGAGTTGTAGTACTCGAGACCGGTCTTAAGACCACTTTTTGTTGGTCTTGGTCTCGGACTCGACTGCATTTGTACTCGGTCTTGTCTCAGTCTCAGACATTAAGGAAACAGGATTTTATTTCAAGACCAGTCAAGACCATAACTTTAGGAATATCAATAAATTGCTTTTGCATTGTCTGATTTATTTGTTGATATCCTAACTTTGATTGGATGTAAAACGTATCAAATGCAACTAATAACCCTAATTAAAAATGCCATGTTACCATTAACAACTGTCCCCCCTTCCCCGCGATGGTCAGCATGGAAAAGGAGCGTTGAATAAAGATGCTTACGTTGATTTCAGCTCGTAGTGTTTGTATGTGGGTGTTTTAATGGGAATGTGGATCTTTCAGATCACTTTGAAAAGCACCTGTGATCTCTTTCCACATTTTATTGTGTCATGTAATGTGGGGAACTGGTCTTCACTCGGTATCGCCCTCCCTTGGTCTTGGTCTCAGCCCCTAAAAGTCTTGGTCTTCACTCAGTCTCGATAAACTCTGGTCTTGGTCTTGACTCGGTCTCGATAAACTCTGGTCTTGGTCTTGACTCGGTCTCGATAAACTCTGGTCTCGACTTGGTCTCAGTTTGGGCGGTCTTGACTACAACACTAACCTGTGGACGTACAGACAAACTCACTTTGTAGGTCATTTTATAATTGATAAATGGTGCAATACTCAAGAGTAATTACTCCTTTAATACTACATTATAATGGGAATACACAGGACTAGTAAATCACAAAGCTCTACTTTTGAATGAGTGGAATAAGAAATCTATGAGAGAGCAGCCAATTCTGTTTGCGTCCTTGATGAAAATATTTAGTCTGTTCTGTTTAGTGCTGAAACAAGACATACACATAATTAACAAAAAAAGTTCCTTAACAACAGTTTTAATTTCCCAATAATTTCCCTGTGAGTTCTTATGGAAAGGCGTAGGTGCTGATTATAGGTAGAGTAGTTGATTGAGTTTAGGTAGTTGTCTTTTATTAAAAACTTGAACCCAAGCAAATATTATATATATAAATATTGTTTATTAATACATACATTGAGTTGAAAGCTTGCCATAGATACATTTAATATTTTCGTATGTTCAGCTGACCTGCAGTGCACTGACTAAAAGACTCTCTAGGTAAAGCTGATTAATTAACACAGTCTCCATTTTCCCTGTAATTAGCACAAAAGTTTTTTTTCCAGGAACCTTACTTTCAATTTCCTTTCTAGGAAGTTACAGCAAACTATTGGACTGAAATTAAGTGTTAATTAATTTTCTGCATTTCTCTGTTTTTATTAATCTTTAGTAATTAATCTTTGGGTTTAGGAACAGAACAAGCAGCGATGCACCCGTCTGTATCATTGCAGATAACGACTCCATTAACAAGTACAGTCAACACACTCGGTCATTGTCAATCTAAAATTCAGTTTGCCTGTCACAATCTCTGACCTTGTGTTTGTTACCTTACATAAAACTGATCCCGACTAATTGGTAGTCGTTATCGATAAGCATAAAATTTGAAGACCTTGTTTTACTTTTTATAAACTGAACAATTAATAACAAACAAATCAAACAGAATAACCAATAGTTGCAGCCCTAATCATGATCAGTTTCTAAAGAACCCAAAAGTGGGTCTGCAATCGAAGTGTTTATTTTTTATTTATCTCTTTCTGCTCCTACAGAGGTGCAGATAAAAGTCCAGGTGTTTGACAACAGCGACCTGTCGCCGTTGGCGGGCGCTCAGGTGGAAGTCCATGGCAACCAAACTATCTTGGCGTCCAGCAGGGCCGGCAGCGATGGCGTCCTGAGAGTCAGCTTCCTGTACCGCACAGGAACATGGGTCATCATTACAGCCTCCAAACAAGACTACGTCACCAACTCTGTGCCCTGGCACTCCAGCCGCATCCCCTGTAAGTCACAGAGGAGGGAAACGCAGTGTATTAAGTGTGAAGAGCGATTTCACCGTCCCTTTGTTTTTCCTTCTGATGACTCTGTCACACTTCAGTCATCTGTGGTTGTGTCAGGTGGTTGTGTCTCTTCACACAGCAAATCCTTAAAAACCATTAAATGTAGTTTCCTAAATAGGTCTTATAGGTATTAAAAAGTCTTCTTAATTTAATTTACAAACATACAAAATATGTTCTCTTGCCTGCAGTAGCTAGTAATGGTTTCAAAATGTTTTTGCATGTGATTGCAGGCTGTCGGTAGACGTTATACGCCGGTAAACTAAAAGTGGGGTTGTTTTGAGGTTGTGCAGCAAGAGGCTGTTCAATCCTTTTTGTGGAGTTTCAGTCAGCACCATCAGTGCATTTTCAAAAAACACCATATTTTTTTGTCATACTGCACATTGCTGCAGCTCCTCTTTTCACCCTGTGTCGAAGGCTTCGTTTTAGCTATGGAGTGATACATCTTACCTCTACAAGATTTTTGTTGGGAGTTGCACATGCTCAGTTTCTAGTTAAGGACTACTAGCCAATCAGAAGCAGAGAAGGGCGGGTCAGTGAGAAGCCAGTAAACACGGCTTCGGTTCAGCTGTACATGTTGCCGACCGGCTTGGCAACATGGACTGGAGCGAGAGTTTCAGAGTGGTGAGTTATTAATCTGTAACAAAAGGATCTTTCATCTATAAAGTTTTAACTGAGCTCTGTCTCGACATCACAGTAACAACTTTATGTCCACTGACTGCCTGGAGGGTAGCTAGTGTTTGGAAGGGAGAGGAGAGCTGTGTGCTGCAGCTCACTGTTATTCCGGTGGTGTTTTTGAGGGCGTGTCAGAGTAGCCGTTTGGCGAACGTTATATGAGGCGCATTTAGCTTTTATTCCTGTGTCGTCACAGGGATGAAAGGGAAAGTTTTCTGTGGGAGATGGGAACTCCCTTTGGGCTGGACTTTGGGCTTTTTCACTTTGCAAACCTATTACATGCACAAAAAAATTATAAAACTCAATAAAGGAGAGGGAAAAAGCCAAAAAGCATAATACCAGCTCTTTAATTATTGTTGTTAAAAAACATGATGATAATAATAATAATAAATAAATGTAGGCCATTTTGTTCCTACTGGTTTTCCTTCATGCTTTCATAATTTGGCTAATAAGATGCTGAAACAGTTGAATTGCATTTTATGTGGTCTTAAAAAGTCTTAAATTTAAATTTGCAGAACTTTAACCCTGCAGAAGCTCTGTCTCAGCATTGTTGTTGCACCTGGAAATCAAATTTTAGTGTCTCTGTCTTTTTATAGTGTATGCATCAGTCAGCCTGTACCTCCTCGTGCAGAGGCCAGGAACACTTATTCTGTACGATGACGTCCTGCAGGTGCTGTCTGGGTCCCCAGGTAAAGTATATTATTCTTTCTCTGAGGAAACCTGAATGTTTCATGATCATGCTGTCATACCTTGACTTTACGAAGGATTATTATCTTATCCCACGGAACTGAGTCACAATTTGTCGTTCCAATATTTAAGAAATGTTATATAATGTAGGCCCATAAGGGAACGGTTGTGCTATTTTGGTCACTTGAGAAAGTCAGTTTGACTCTTCAACAGTTATTCTGTCATCACATCTTAAATTATTCTGTCTCCAGCAGAGCGTGATGATAGATTCACACCCCTCCCCCGTCCCCCCTGCATCTGTTCAGACCATTTACATGACCCTGTGTTATTTGCTGCTGCTATCACCATAGCAACAGCTGCAGCAGAGTACTTTGTTGTAGTTTTTACAAATACACCTCAGTCACATTCGCCTACGCATATCTGTAATACACCAAGTAAGATCAGTGTGTTTACATCTTTTTTGGAGATATCAAGACAAAATACATAAGGTGTTTGTAAGATGTGCAAAACTGGGAGTGTGATTGTGTCTCTGCAGGAGCTCGTAACCAGCCGCTGGTGCAGCTCCAGAGGAAGTCCCTTCAGCTGCCGTCCAACTCCAACTACACGGCGCTGTCTGCTGCGCTGACCACGGCCAAGACTCAGTATGAAATGGGAGGTTTCCCGTTTCTCCTGGGCCAAGAGACCAACAGCTCAGGTTGGTGTCTGTCTCAGAAATCAATGACGAGAATGATCTACTATATTGCCAAAAGTGTGTGGACAGATACTGTAGTGTACATTACTTGCGCTGTGTTTGCTGGTTTGGTCTATCACCCTTATTGAAGGCATATCTTAATGCTGCAACAGTGTTCTTCTAGCGATGTGGCAACACTTTGTTTTTGTCCCTTTCTTGTTTCAACATGACAATGCCTTCACAGATACCTGTAGAAGGAACTGGAACACCAACTGAGATCCACACCTGGTCACTGATACTATTGTGGCTTATTGGGATCAAATCCCTGCAGCCAGGTTCAACATCTGGTGGAAAGACCGAAACCAGAAGAGCGGATGCTGGTATAGCAGCAGATTAATGGTCCTGGTTTTGGGATGAGATGTTCATCCACTACATATGGGAGTAATGCAGCCACATACTTTTGGACATGTAGGATCATCTTCAGTGTCTGCACTGCATATGACAAGTTGACTTTAAAATTGTCTTTTGCAGCCATGTGATCTTGATTGACAGAAGTCAAATCATGCGATGAGAGAGAGACATTCATGGCCATTCACACATTGATGGAAAGAGAGCCCAGTTGCACAAATGACTGCACAAAATAAAAAAATAAGTGTCAGAAATCTGAGAGTGAGAGAGTGATTTATGACAGAGCAAACTTACCTGCCTCAAATATCCCATATCATCAGGTTGTAAGACTGTAGCATTGCGATGAAAGTGACTTCCTCTGTTCAGGTGCAGAAACAGGGTGGACAGACTTGACGGCTTTGGCAGTGGTCAGCATTCAGCTCTTTGACAAAGATGGCAGTGCGATCCAGGTCTCAGATCCGATCCACATCTCTGTGCCGCTGCCATCCGACACCCGCAACAGGATGGCCACTAGTGTACCTGCCTGGCTGTATCAGCCTAAGACGGGTAAGGGAGGCAGTATGTATTGGATCATGTTTGGTACTGTAAAATGTATTTTCCTGTTTTTCTATAATTTAGGTGTTAGATTTTCTTGTGAATGTAGTCTATACCTTTAAACTGAATGCAGCATATGTAATGACAGTGCTAAACATTTATCCAGGGCTGTGGATTAGGAACGGGACGGGCTACATCAAAAAGGACGGCCAACAGTTCGTCTGGAACGTTGTGGTTCCTCAGATGGGATACTGGTTAGCTGCCTTCCCTTCGTCTTCAGGTACTGTAACTCATCTCACCCTCCACGCTGCTGTTTGTGCTGTTCTTTATCATCAGCATTGCTGCTGTGCCAGCAGATGTTCCTGTATGTCTCTTGGGAGAAAATATGTAATGCTCTCTTTGATGTTGAAGGCCAGGTGTTGTTGCCCATAACAGCCTATTGAAATTGTTACATGGAAAGAGTTGATTTGGTGCTCTTCTCAGCTGTTTTGATGTAAGTATCACATGTATGCCAGTTTCCCTGGAACAAATTAAATCACATAACTCTAAAACCATTAATGTTTCACACTTAAATGCATTAGCTTGGTAATATTCTGTATTTTTCATACTGTTTTCACACCCAATTATAAGACCAAACCCAACAATGAATGTATCCAAGGGCACACTGTGCAAGAGAAGAGGTAGACAGACAGCAGAACAAACCACTGTGAGGCAGATGAGGGCACATTGTACTCGTAGTAGAGATGACAGACAACAGTGGTAATGTTTGATTGTTTTGATGAAGATGATCAAAACAATTGATATTGCTAGGGACAAGTCAGTAGTTGCTGAATATTCGTAGCGACATGTGAAACTTTTGCTTTCGTTTTATTTATTTTATTTGTATATATTCTTTGGCAGTGTTAATTAAACAATGTTTGTTTCATCAAGGTCATCATCAGGCAAACATTAATGGGAAAGAAAAGCAAACTATAAATACAAATCGATGACAGAGTGTTGCGAAGGTGAAGTTTCAGAGTGATTCTTAGACGACTTTCTGCCTTGAATTTTCTTGCAGGATTGGGTCTATCTCATCCAGGCTTGAGGGACATCACCACCTACCACACCCTGTTCCTGCTCTCCATCCTGGGCTCGTTGGCCCTGCTGGTTCTCATCCTGCTCTGTGTGCTGCTCTACTACTGCAGGTGTGGGGAGCGTAGGCGAAGGTCTCAGTTTTAGGTTTCTATCAATAGCACTGATTTTGGTGGTGATAATTGCAGATAATTTGTGAATGTGGGTTTAATTTTCGGCTGTCGTTAGATAAGACTATTCTTTTAATCCCCAGGATAACAGGTTCTTCTTAGATTTCTGACCTTCAGTGTCTGTTTACCTTTCAGGCGGAAGTGTTTAAAACCTCGCCGCCAGCAAGGGAAACCCCACTCGTCCAATCTAAATGGCGCAAAGAGAGACCAGGGTACATCCACTTCACGCCTAAATCTGATCTGTGGAGGCCATGTTGAGTCTGGCACCTCTAACGACAAATCTGAGCTGTCCCCATCTAGAGACTATCAGAGTTCGAAGGAGGACTTAACCAAGCATGTTCCAGCCCACATGCTGCGACACGCAAAGGGAAAAAATGCATCAGGTCCCCAACGGGGTGAAAGCTTCCCCATGAAGGTTACTCGTGCCACAGAGACCAACAACCTGGACAACCCTTTGCTGCATGAAGACTACAACCGGAGCTACAGTCCGATGGAGGGCAAAGAGTCTGAATATCACCGACACCACAACGCTAACGACAATCGGGGATACTCGTCTGATCCCCCGTCCCCGCCTCGCTTCCAAGGCTATGTGCCAAACCAGTCTGACAAACCACCTGATTATTCAGCAGCAGCTGCAGACAGCCTTGCCAGACCCACCTCCCTCAACACCCAACCAGGACAGATCATCTTCTGCAGCTCCATTGACCAGATGAAGGAGAACATGTACCGTAGCATGGTGCCAACCCTGGTCATCCCAGCCCACTATATGCGCCTGCCCTCTGAGTTTTCTGGTAAAGATGGCAAAGACCAGAAGGATCAAGACAAAGATGGTGCACAGATGGCAGGAGGCCAGCAGCATCATCACCACCACTCCCAGAAACAAGGCCAACAGCAGCAAGGTGGATCCCAAGGTGACGACTCTGAAGAGCCGAGCTGGGCGTCCGACTCCTCTGGTGGACCTGTGACCATCCCTGTGCTCTTCAACGACTCCACCATGGCTCAGATGAATGGGGAACTGCAGGCTCTGACTGAGAAGAAGCTACTGGAACTCGGTGTTAAACAGCACCCGAGGGCATGGTTTATCTCCCTGGATGGACGCGCTAACGCTCATGTGCGCCACTCCTACATAGATGCTGGGAATGACCTCAGTGGCGGTGGTGTGGGTGGATTCTTAGGTGGTCCCAGCAGCGCTTCACGAGACATCAACCTTGAACCACCTCTGGAGGCCCAAGAACGCAAGTCAGCAATCAACCGGAAGGGAAAAGATGATCGTTGGGGGACGGGAGGACGGAAGGGCCACGGTGTTAGCAGCAGCGGTGGGAAGAGTTACTCCAAGCTGGCCTACCCTGACCACAGCGAGCCCAGCAGCAGCGAGGGGCGCCCGGTCTCACCCGAGGAGAACTCCCTCACCCCTCTTCTTGATGAAGGCCCATCCTCTCGAGGATCCACCATCCCCAGAAGAGGACGCAGTCGTGTGAACAGCGCCCGCAGCAGCAACAGCGAGAACCGCCGCGACTCCATGACCAGCCCTGAGGATGATCCTGACGACAAAGAGGAGAACAAAAAGAGCCCCTGGCAGAAGATTGAAGACAGGCCTCTCATGGTCTTCCACCCCAGGAAGTGAGCTTTTCGAACTTACTGGACACTGGACCTTGTAACAATCTTTTCAAAGCAAACGTGAAGAAGAAGAGTGTTGTTTCCACAGAGATAGATCACAATAAGCACAACCATGCTTCACTGGTCCATTTTTAAGGTTGTTGTTTGACCTTTGTGTTCCCGATGAGGTGCGTTTGCACTTTCTTATAAGTCTCGTAGTCTCACTGTCAGTTAATCTTACTGGTTTCCACTGAGATGATCCATAGTATTCTGAAACCTATCCAGTTTATTGTGAATTCTGTCACCTTTCACATCACTGAGGCATCGTCTGAGACATTGCGTACACTGACTGTGGAAATAGCCATTTTATAGAGCAGAATATAAGAGTAAAGCACTTACTAATAATTTGATAATAGATTGATTGATACTTACCAAGTATTTGGAAGTGGATGACATTTTGATATTGATGGGTATTTAGGCGAATTAGATTTCCTTCCCTGGATTTAATGCGACACAAAGGCTCATGTGAATGCCGGGCCTGTGTTTCCTTGACTACCACCCTGCCCTAAACTGTAACTAGGATAAGTTTTCTTTAAAGGATACCACTTCCCAAAGCTTGAATATGGAGGGAACCTATCTGTCAGTTGTACTGGTTTTTTTTCTTGAGCCCCCTGTGAACGGATAATGCAATCTACATCCATTATAACGACTTGCATTTTGCTCCTTCAGGGATTTACTTGATTTCCTCTTCATCCTGTACCGTGTTCATGTGTTGAAATTACTTATTCAGATAGTAACTGATTTGTTGAGCATCATCTTCAAGTGTTTCTGTCATCTTTTCAGTCATTGATTTATTGCAGTGATCTACAATTCTGCCCAAATTTTGCATTTTTGCCTTTTGCCTGTTGTAGAGTTTTTTCAGCTTGACAGAGACCTCTTTGCAGTTTCTGTTGTGTAAATAGATCCCCGAACATTTGAAAGACCATTTGGTATAGAAAGTTTGCATGCATATGAATGTATGAAGTAAACAGAAGGCACCAAAAGCCCCCCACAGTTCACCGGGCTCCTGCGTAGACAACCCCTAATTGCCAAGAAACATGGGTAAGTCCAAGAAACATGGGTAAGTCTAAAGAGACACGGTTGAGCAAAAACATCACTTTACTTGAAGACTTTCCTGTTTAATATCATACTGAGATCTACAGGGGTTGTGTTTGTAGACAGGGCCTGGAACACTTTTCTCCTGTAAGTGCCTTCTTTCACATAGGATCGAGTGATAGGCATGCAGGTCCCTTTTAAAAATGCAGTTCCTCGTCACCTAAACTCAGCTGTCGAGGTCCGCAGGCACCAATAAGCACACTGCATTGTGGTAACATCAACACACGTCACTCTGGGGAGCATGCTTGCCAAATCTGACAACTTCGCGTGCGGCTGATATGTCCTTGAATATTTTAATTTCATATATCTGTCCTCTTTTTCACCAAACTTGTAAATGGTATGATGAACTATATGAGATTTTATCTGTATACGATGTGCATGTAACACGTAGAATAGGGTGTTTTTAATGAAACCTTTTTTTGAAAGGATGTTTGGCACAAAATGTGATGCACTGACGCATTGAATTGTGTTGCCAAATGAACTTGGTTATATGAAGATACACTGACTTTTTTCCCTTAATCCAGTTCTAACAAAATTCACTTCCGGTCGTAAATGTTTACAACAATAACATACTGACCAACACGCTCCCGCTGTTACTAGCATCACTGCCCACGACGCATCAGCAACTGTGAACTTAATTATGTCATCTAGCAGATTTGTAAAAGCTCACCAGTTTAGAAAACTTGAAGAGGTTAATGTTTGATTTTATTTTTTTGCAGAGGTTGATTATGAAGTGAAAATCTTGAAGACTTGTATAAAAGTCATGCTGACTTGTTGGTCCTTTTCACCATTTGCTCGCTGTTCATGCGCCTGTGTCAGTAGCCTACAGTACAAACTGAAAATGTGATGTATAGTTCAAAGTCTGAAGAGTAACCCCGCCATGAAACAATTTCCTGCTGAACTGTTGTGTCCACTGCTGTAAATGTACGTTTTTTGGGACCAGATATTGAATTATTATAAAATGTGCAATTGTGGCTTTCCTTGCTTGTTTTTGTTTTACAAGAGAAAATCTGTTTTCTTGGTAGATTTTGTGAATGTGTGTTTTGGACAGAGATTGTTCAGTCACAGCCTGATTCACACACAAGAACTGAATCCCTGAGAGAACACATTAAACCTGGTAAACCGCTTTGTTGGATCTTTTTGATAGTACGTACAATTCATATGAGGTTCAGGAGGATTGAACTGTAGGCCTCCATCCTGTGCAGTAAATCATTTGCTTCATAAACCTGGTCAGATGTTTGTAAACTGTAAATTGATTCTTTCTGTACATGAGACGAAATAGAAATAAATTTGTTCTCACGGTCATTCAGAGTTTGTGATTTAATTTAGATGAAAAGGACAAAACTAAAAACATTTAAATTATGGCTGAGACCATTTGACTGTTTATATTTGAAGACAAGTTCATTTGTAGAGCACCTTTCAACAAGAAGGCAATTGAAAGTGCTTTAAATAATAAAATTAGATATAAACAGAGGAACAGTCAGTCTAGCGGTCAAATTTGAGAGGCACAGATTTTTGCAATCCACATCCCAACTTGTAAGGTGTCTTTTGATTTGTATTTTAATGGCATATAATCTTTCGCAGTAATTAAGTAACTATGTGTCGTTCCTAAACAATTTAAATGAAAGAATATTTTCATCAAGGACTTCATAAGGCAAACATGAATGTGAAACAAAAGCAAACTATATAAACAAATAGGACAAAGAAATGTCAGCTCCACCTGCAGTTATCCCAAAACAATCTACTACTGTATGTACATAAAACACATAATATACTGTAGCCTGTATGTGATAATACACAAAATGCAAAAGATGTGAATAAATAGACTGATGTGATCTCCCTCTTACAGGTGAAGATTGCCAGTTTTCTCTAAATAGCTGTGTTTCATCAGCATCTAATTACAGTTGTTTGGGGTATTTTCCTGGTACCATTGAGACACCAATGTTAAATCTGATTTTAAAAAACACCACAGAGTCTTTATGAAATATTTTTGTGAGTGTTAAATTCTACTGAGTTGCATTATGGGAAATGTAGGCTCCGGCTTCTCCCAGTTTCCTTGTAATGTAACCTCAGACTGTAAAGTGTAACACTAAACCAGTGGTGGGAAAACCAGTGGTGGGAAAAATACTCAGATCTTTTACTTGAGAAAAATTGGCACAAATGATTTGCAATTGATTGACTGATATAAAAATATAATTTATTTGTTGATATATTTTGTATCTTTAACTCGGCATTTTAGCAGTTTTTGCTGATGAAAGATTGAGCTAAAATAATGCTCTGTGTCACAAGTCTTAATCAGCTGTTCTTCCTTTAAATGTATAAATAACACTTTTTTTCTTCTTGAATTGTAAGATTTGTTCCGTTATAAGACATGTTTGCACAATAGACCTTTTTAAGCTCTGAAGTAGTTAATGGACACCATGGATTGAGTCCACACATCTACTAGAGATGATACAATTTTTCAATTAATCCATTTATTAGATCAGCAGAAAATTAACTGGCAATTATTTAGGATAATTCAGTCATATTTACCGGCCTGTCGGTCTCTCTCTTTCTCTTTCTGAGCTTGAGGTTGGCCAAGATGGGCTGCCTCTCGGGAACTAGATCAAATTAATAATTATTTGTAATTGATATTTTATCCGATAGCCTAATTTTTTGACAAGTAATCTTAATACTGGTTGAAATGAAACATGTGATAGTAGACAATTCCCCCTCTTATTTGCACTAAAGGAATTAAAAGCCTATCCCAGAGTTCAGGGGTGGAAGCAAATAAAAGCCCGGGGTATTAATTTAAGTTTTACAATACTCAATAATGTGCAAGTACCTCAAAAATGTAGCCTACTTAAGTGCAGTACTTGAGCAAATATACTTAATCACTTTCCACCACTGCCTTATGTTTAAAAGAAGTATAAATATTCACACCTGTATTAGTAATCAGCCCATGTGATTGGTTACTTCGGTGTAATGTCCCTTTAACGCCAAACTGCAGAGTCACGTGTGCCTGTGTCATGTGATTACTGAGCTGCAAGAGAAGAAAAAGAAAAGCCCGGCTTTGTTATTCTGACTGTTTTTGAAGCAGCGTAACAGACGACATACATGTGACAAGGTGCGCCAAAACCTACCAGGTGAGAAAAAAACACGTCCGTTTTGCGCACAGCAAGAAAAACAAACGCCTCCGCTTCAAGTCATTCAGAGCAGCTAGCTCTGCTGTTAGCCACCTAGCATGCTAAGCTAACTTGTTTTTCTCTTGCTCGCTGGTAACCGTTTGCGAAAAGTTACTTTTATCTGTGGTGACGCTTACACGTGAAGTTTTGTGTTTATTGCACCACTGATCAGTGTTTTCTCGCAGTATTATGGTGAGTAATGTGTGTTTTTTTTTGTCGCTCATCAGGTTGTAAGAGGAGTAATGCAGTATTGTGCCCTTTGTTCATCATAACAGCTGAGTTCTGCCTCCAAGTCATCTGATGATAATGGTAAAGTACCCTCTCTAGTAGCTAAATGTCTTTTAAAAAATGTGCTTATTATTAGGACATTAGCTGCTATTTAGGGGTTGAATTTGTACAGTTTTATTTTTACCTCTCTGAGGGTCAGTCTGCAACAGCCTTGAAACTGGGAGAGCTCTAAGGTACCTTGGCTGCAGGACATTTTATAGTCAACAAGTGGACATAATTATGCAGATGACACACAGATTTACATGGTGTGGTCATGGACTCAGACCTGAATTTGAGGAGCCACATTATGACAATTACAAAGTCAGCCTACTATCACCTGAAGAATATATCAAGGATTAAAGGACTTATGTCTCAGCAGGACCTGGAAAAGCTTATTCATGCATTTATCTTCAGTCGACTCGACTACTGTAACAGTGTCCTTACAGGGCTCCCTAAGAAATCCATCAGACAGCTGCAGCTGATTTAAAACGCTGCTGCTCGAGTCCTCACTAAGACCAAAAAAGTGGATCACATCACTCCAGTTCTGAGGTTTTTACATTGGCTTCCTGTCTGTCAAAGAATTTATTTCAAAATCCTGCTGTTAGTTTATAAAGCACTAAATGGTTTAGGGCCAAAATACATTTCTGATCTTCTGCTTCGTTATGAAGCATCCAGACCTCTCAGGTCGTCTGGGGCAGGTCTGCTTTCTGTCCCCAGAGTCAAAACTAAACAAGGAGAAGCAGCGTTCAGTTATTATGCTCCGTATATCTGGAACAAACTCCCAGAAAACTGCAGGTCTGCTGAAACTGTCAGTTCTTTTAAATCAAGACTTTTCTTTTTACCACAGCCTTTAATTAGATCAGATGTAAGGCTGTGGATTAATGTCGTGCACTGCACTGTGACTTTTACTGTCCTGTTTTATCCTGTTTCTATTTCCAATTTAACTCTTTAAAATGTATTATCCTGTTTTATTTTCTATTTCACCCTTTAAAAAAATTATATTTAAATCCCTTCCCTTTGCTGCTTTTATGTTTTCTGTAAAGCACTTTGATTTGCCTTGTTGTTGAAATGTGCTATACAAATAAACTTGCCTTGCCTTTTCAACCCTTAAGACACTCTGTACAGTTTATAAAACGGTAGGAAACTGTAGCTCACGAGACTCTTACTGCTGGTTTATTTATTAACAACCTGCATAAATGATCCACAGATAAAGCACCTACACTGCCATCCAGATACTAATGTTTTTATCTTGGTGTTTCATTCAACTGTTGCCTAAATTACTAGGCATTAATCGAAATGTCATTAAAATAATTGTTCCTGACAGCCCTACTTGTTACTCGTGACTGTGTACAGAACTAAAGATACTTTCTTCAGTACATAATCAGTTTTTCTGCAGCGCTCTATGTGCTGAAGTTGTCTGATAACTCAGCGTTTTAGCATATCTTGCTGATGAAAGATGGAGCTAAAATAATGTCACGAGTCTTAATCAGCTGTTCTTCCTTTTTAAATGCTAAATAACAATTTTTATCTTCTTGAATTGTGAAATTTTTGTTTTCTTCTTTTATTTCCTGTTCACCAGACATGTTTACTCAATAGACCTTTTTAAGCCCTGAATTAGTTACTGGACACCATGTACTGAGTCGGCACATCTACTACAGATGCAACAATTTAGTCAATTAATCCATTTATTAGATCAGCAGAAAATTAACTGGCAACTGTTTTGATATTTGATTTAAATGTAAATCCACATTTGAGAAGCTTAAATCAGAGAATTTGGGGAAAAACAATTAACAATTAATTGACTAATCATTGCAGCTCTAATTTAAACAGTTAGTCAGACAAAACGAACAAACCCTGAAATCTACAGCTGACTTATTTATATATATATATATATATATATATATATATATATATATATATATATATATATATATATATATATATATATAGTGACTTTTGTGAGTAGTGGTTGTTTAGGATGTGAAATGCCTAAAATGAGTCTCTACCTACATACAGTAAAAGGGACGTGAACTTTACAGCAAGGATCTGGGTTTGTTTAGTGTTGAAATACAGTTTATCAGTTGGAATTTTTGTTGAGCGGCTGCACAAACTTACCTTTGTTATCATTCCCCACAGTGATTTAGAGGTCTGTCACAACCTGAAAGAAACACAGAAACCAAGAAGATTAGATAGAAAGCGTTGACAGTAGTTTCATGTAATATTTGTAGACCACATTGCGTCATACTACGTTTGCTGACAGCCCTTTCCTCATGTTCAGACGCTGCAGATGGGGATCGTGTGTCTGGCTCTGCTGGGCCTCAGCACAGCACTGGTCTGTCCTGATGGAGGCATGTGTGAGGACAAAAACACCTGCTGCAAGAACACGGTGGGAGGATACGGATGCTGTCCACTGCCACACGTGAGTTACCGTTCAGCCATGTGTCTGACACAGAAGTGAAGTATTTAAATTAAACTAATACTGTATATGTTGCTGACATAAGTCAAGCATTTGCCATAAAACACACAGTACAAACTCAGTAATTATTGCACAGTTCAGTCATTTAAACAATGGTGGAGGAAGTACTAAGAAAACGCTAGGGACGCACTGATCTGACACACTGATATCTGCCCGATGCTGACAAATAGCTAGATTGGGTATCGAAACAAGGTAAACCCGAACATTTAGCTAGGACAGCTTACATAGCATGAAGGGAGCTAAAAACAAGGGGTCAGCAGTTTGGAAGTATTTCACACTTGCCAACATGTTTAATGGCAACTTGCAGTATCTGCAAAGCCAGTGTTTTGAGGGGTGGCGGCAGCGCTGCAAAATACCTTGATCAGCCATAACATTATAACCACTAACATTATAACCACTGACGGATGAAGTGAACAACACTGATTATCTTATCATTGCACCTGTCAGTGGGTGAGAGATATCAGGCAGCCCGGGCCCGTGTGCCTGATCCAACAGACAAGCTACAGTATTTTCATTTTGATTCTTGAAGACGTTCCTCCTCTTTTCCAAAAGGTTTTTCAGAAGTGAAGCAAAAAACAAACAAAACAAAGTTCACTTTGTTTGCAGTAAGAACTAAAACTTGAAAATACACTTTTTTTTAATTAAATTTTGGAGTCATTTCATGGCGTTTAGTGTGAATCCACACACAGATGGGGAGGAATGATTGATCGAATTCCAAAATGTAACTGAATAAACTTCTGGTTAAAGTTTGTACATGGTTCTTCTCTTCGGCTGATGCCACTCAGAAACAGTAAATAAACTTAAACACATCTATTTAAGACTGGAGGACAGGTTACATCAGTGTTTTGCTCCATTTTTCTTCTTAATTTCATGTTTACAGAAGTCTGTTTTACATAGCATATACAGAATTTAAGGTGTGTCCACAATAAACTCTGCTCTGAGTTCGTTCCACACATCATTTCCTGCAGCTGTGTTTGTGGTATGTTTCAGTAAAACCTTTTGTCATCTTCTCTCCGTCTTTATCCATCTGTAGGCTGAGTGTTGTTCAGATCACCTCCACTGCTGCTTTGAGGGGACGGTTTGCGATCTCGTCCACGCCAAATGTGTTAATAAGACCGTTTCCCTGCCCTGGATGAGACGAGTTCCAGCTAAACAGGCTCAGCTTATATCTCAGGTATTTCCAACTAAGGGCTTAATCAAAACTAAGACAAGTTGTTGTTTTATTTTTGTTAAGCATCTCTTCTGAGCTCAGTATACTTTTGTTTTTTTGTAGAACGTTCGGGCTGTTTGTCAACCTTTGCACTAGGATCTAGTGTTGTAGTACTTGAGACCGGCCTTGGTCTTAAGACCAGTTTTTGATGGTCTTGGACTCGACCGCATTTGCACTCGGTCTTGTCTCGGACATTGAGGACTTTGGATTTTATTTCAAGACCATAACTTTGGGAATATCAATAAATTGCTTTTGTTTTGTCTGATTTGTTAACATCCTAACTTTGATTGGAAGTAAAACGTATCTCTTGCAATGCAACCAATAACCCTAATTCAACATGTGGTGTTCCCGTTAACGACTGTCACCCCTCCCTGCGATGCTTACAGTGGGTACGGAAAGTATTTAGACCCCTTTAAATTTTTCACTCTTTGTTTCATTGCAGCCATTTTCCAAAAATCAAAAAAGTTCATTTTATTTCTCAGTAATGTACACTCAGCACCCCATCTTGACAGAAAAAAACAGAAATGTAGAAATTTTTGCAAATTTATTAAAAAAGAAAAACTGAAATATCACATGGTCATAAGTATTCAGACCCTTTGCCGTGACACTCATATTTAACTCAGGTGCTGTCTATTTCTTCTGATCATCCTTGAGATGGTTCTACACCTTCATTTGAGTCCAGCTGTGTTTGATTATACTGATTGGACTTGATTAGGAAAGCCACACACCTGTCTATATAAGACCTTACAGCTCACAGTGCATGTCAGAGCAAATGAGAATCATGAGGTCAAAGGAACTGCCTGAAGAGCTCAGAGACAGAATCGTGGCAAGGCACAGATCTGGCCAAGGTTACAAAAAAATTTCTGCTGCACTTAAGGTTCCTAAGAGCACAGTGGCCTCCATAATCCTCAAATGGAAGACGTTTGGGACGACCAGAACCCTTCCTAGAGCTGGCCGTCCGGCCAAACTGAGCTATCGGGGGAGAAGAGCCTTGGTGAGAGAGGTAAAGAAGAACCCAAAGGTCACTGTGGCTGAGCTCCAGAGATGCAGTCGGGAGATGGGAGAAAGTTGTAGTAAGTCAACCATCACTGCAGCAATCCACCAGTCGGGGCTTTATGGCAGAGCGGCCCGACGGAAGCCTCTCCTCAGTGCAAGACACATGAAAGCCTGCATGGAGTTTGCTAAAAAACACCTGAAGGACTCCAAGATGGTGATAAATAAGATCCTCTGGTCTGATGAGACCAAGATAGAACTTTTTGGCCTTAATTCTAAGCGGTATGTGTGGAGAAAACCAGGCACTGCTCATCACCTGTCCAATACAGTCTCAACAGTGAAGCATGGTGGTGGCAGCATCATTTCTGTTTTTTTCTGTCAAGATGGGGTGCTGAGTGTACATTACTGAGAAATAAAATGAACTTTTTTGATTTTTAGAAAATGGCTGCAATGAAACAGAGTGAAAAATTTAAAGGGGTCTGAATACTTTCCGTACCCACTGTACATTGATTTCAGCTCTTAGTGTTTGTATGTGGGTGTTTTTTAATGTGGATCTTTCAGATCAGTTTGTGAAGTACCTATGATCTCGTTCCACATTTTATTGCGTGCCATGCACTGGTCTTGGTCTCGACTGCTCTCAGCCCCTATAAGTCTTGGTCTTGTCTCGTTTTGGGTGGTCTTGACTACAACACTAGTAGAATCAATGGGGCATTATGTTCTGGCAGCCTTTCATTGGTTTCTCGACTTCATCCTTTAGACATGCAAATGTAACTGTTTAATGAATGTAGGTCAAACAAGAATATCAACACAATTAGATCTGCTGCATTGGCACTTTGTTTATTCTTATCTTGCTTTACTGTCCGATACAAGAAGCACACAGAATAAACGCTTTAATTCAAGTGTACTTTTAGACTTTCTTTCTTTCTACATTTTGTAGTTTTTATATTTCTTCAAACATGTTGAAACACAGTTGTAATGTGTTAGAAATCAGACTCCGTACGGCAGGATTGAAGGAATGTAAAGATGTCATTTTGGTCCACAGGGCTGGGCGATGAAACAGCAATTTAAAATTTAGTTCATATCAAATCTCTGTTCTGATTTTAAGCCCTTAAACACAAATCTCGTCAGCGCTCTGTGACCTTTATCCTCTTCCTCCTCGCTCATCTTCCCCTTCGTGGCTAAAGTGAAAGGAGTCTCAGTACAAGAGGGGCGTCTTTGGGGACTCGTCTCTAAGAGATATATATATATTGGAATCATTTGTAGACTTCATTCGTTTATATTTGATGGAAAGAAAGCAAAAAAAATGTCTCTTCTTTTAAAACTCCATATAAAATAACTGACATTGCCATGTTTTGTTTTTTTGCTCCTGTCCTTGGTGTGCGTGGGCTGTGACGTGTGATGGATCCAGCTCAGCGAGGGAGTGAAGGCAGTCATTTGTCCGGACCAGGAGTCGGAGTGTCCGGACGACACCACCTGCTGCCAGCTTCTTGACGGCTCCTGGGGCTGCTGTCCATTAGCCAAGGTGATGTACATGAGCTGACCCTCACACAAATACTAAAACCTGAAATCATAAACCCCAAAGACGTCGCCCCAAGAAACGCATTACATGATCTGCTGGCCAGCGTTTGATTTACTCTGCCAGCTGCTCTTGTTCCTGATTTACCATTCAAGACAAAGACTTTAAAGTTCAAGAATAACTTTTCTGATGCAAATTGAAATAAAGGACTAGAATCAACTTTATTGCCAGGTAGGTTCACACATAAGGAATTTGTGTTGGTGTTTTTTTTCCGCTCAACTATAAACATAGCAGGTGGAAAAATTACTGCAGGTCAAGAATCATAAATATGACATGTAAACTTGACAAGATATGAAAAGAGAGAAGAATAATAAACGATATGTACAATATAAATTGTTTAAAAAATAAAATATTTACATTTTGTGATACGTTTGTGTCTCAAATCTTTATGAGAACAAATTTAATAGATATGTATTACTGTATTTTCAAAATGTTCTTTATACATTATCTGTCAGGTTGTAGTCATAATAAAATGATGGTTATCCACAGCTTGTCTTTTTGTTTTCTTCACCTCATAAAGCTCAAATCTGTGTTTGCTTGTTATTTTAAGCATCATTGGTCCCAGTGTTCATGTTGAAGAGACCTTTATTTTGATAACAAGACGGTTTATGTCCAAATTCTCTATTTATCAGCTAAAAAAAATCTATATTTTTACAAAGGTTTTTTTATTTCTAGTAATTATGTTACTGAATGAAAAAGCATTAAGTTATGGTTTGTTTTTCATGCATTTTTAATCCCCTCCCACTGATTGAAGTTGAGCGTCTGTACCTTTCCATTAGCTGCAGGAAACTGTCCTTGACCGACGTTCCTGACTGTGAAATGATTTTCTTCTCTCTGCAGGCGGTGTGTTGTGAGGATAAGCTCCACTGTTGCCCCGAGGGCACAAAGTGTGATATTGCTCACTCAAGGTGCGTCTCGGCGTCGCTGGAGTCCTTCCCCATGCTGCAGAAACTGCCTGCCAGAAGGAAGGAGAATAATAATACAGGTGAGGAATTACTCATCTAAATAAACGCATTAAACAATAATAAATAAATTATAATAATAAACAAGCCATCCAATTTAATGGCCAGGTACTCCTGAAGGGAGGTCTACTTGAAAAATCCCACGTTTTAATTTGCAGAAAGATTTTTAAAAATCACTAAACAATCTGTCATTTTCTTCATGTTTCTGTAGCTTCGTCAGTCCGTTCAGTGATGTGTCCTGGTGGAAAAAGCAGCTGCCCAGATAGTTTTACATGTTGCCTGCTAACCAGTGGAGACTACGGCTGCTGCCCTTACCCAGAGGTACTTGTCTCATCTTATCCATAATACATATGGAAAATATCTTGGAGCTGAAACTATTTTAATAGTTGTTTTATTTCAGCAGCTTTTCTCTGTTTTTATATAACTTTACTTTAATATTGTTGGGTTTTGCTCTAATGACTGGGGGGAGGGGGGGACTTGAGCTCTGGGAAATTTAAATTGGCATTTAAAAATGAAAAGTTAATTAATTGAGATAGTTGCAGCGATAAAGATATTACGAGTGTTTGTTTAAACAGTTTTACAGCTCCTTGGTCATTTCTGTTTAGAAAAAATTAGATGTAGATGGACTTGATTGAAATCATAAATTGTAATATTATGTTGTATTACATCCACACAGTCCAGTATTAATGACTGTACCCTACTTTATTTTACCAAGTCAAGTTTAGAAAAGGCTTTTAAGAAAATATACTGTAGCCTCATCATGTTATTCACTTAAAGTGTATTTGAAATAGTCATTTTTAATTGTTTTTATTTACTTTAGGAAATGTTGAAATTGAAACCTATGATAGCAAAAACACTTCACCATGAACCATCTCTCTGTTAATCTCATAGCTATTATTACAAAACAGCCATTGTCTAATATAAAATATCAGTTTTTTAACTTATCTGTCTTGGTCTGTCTGTTAACTAGAATACATCGGAATCTGTTCTTTTGTTCTTTCTGCCTGTATGTTTGAGACTTTCATGCATCCAACAAATGTATAACGATCGCTTTTGCTACACAGCAGCGTTAAAAACGTTAAACTCTCCGCAAGTAAAAAAAAAACGGTGTTAAACCCGATTTTGATGTACATACATTTATTAAGATTACTTAAATAACAAGATTAAAACAGAGTGGCAATGTTGCACAACTAATAACCAAGTGGTGGGCGTTCTGATTTGCTGCATAGCCTGCCGCGAGTATATAGCAGTGACACTAAATCTCTACCAGTGGACACATTTCTACTGCCACACAGTATACAGTCACATTGCCAATCCTGTAATAACCTACCTGTTGGATTAGCAACATTTAATATCACATATTAAATTACCTTCACAGCATGGGCAGCTACAGGCACTCATCTTTTCTGTGCTGTAGCAAGAATTAATGTTACGTACTGTGGTTTTAATTACACTTAAAGGATCATCGTGTAACTGCATCACACCACAGAATACTTAGTGCATCTACTGACAAGTAGTTACTAAGGTTGGAGCTGAGCTCATGTACAGGCATGTACGAGAGTCGAGCACGGTTTCACCAGGGAGCTTTTGAGCTTATCAAATCCTCGTCTTTACCACTCGTGTGCACAGTGGATTTTTGCACAAATTGCTTTTGTCAGAGGTGCAGAAATGATGCTCCTGGGAGTATTTCAACATGGGAATTTGGGATGCAGCATTAACGTACAGTGAACAAAATTATAAACGCAACATTTTGTTTTGGCCTCCATTCATCATGAGCTGAACGCAAATATCTAAGACTTTCTCTATGTACACAAAAGGTCTATTTCTCTCAAATATTGTTCACAAATCTGTAAAAATCTGTGTTAGTGAGCACTTCTTTGCTGAGATAATCCATCCACCTCACAGGTGTAGCATATCAAGATGCTGGTCAGACAGCATGGGGATTGCACAGTTGTGCCTTGGGCTGGCCACAATAAAAGGCCTTAGGCTGGCCACAATAAAAGGCCTTGGGCTGGCCACAATAAAAGAGAAATGTTTCACTGTATGCGCATAGAGTTGATCAGGTTGGTGATTGTGCCCTGTGGAGTGTTGGTCCACTCCACTTCAATGGCTGTGCGAAGTTGCAGTCAGGTCGAGACCCCGATGAGGACGACAAGCATGCAGATGATATGCCACACCTGTGAGGTGTATGGATTATCTCGGCAAAGGAGCTCACTAACTCAGATTTGTGAACAATATTTTAGAGAAATAGGCCTTTTGTGTACATAGAGAAAGTCTTAGATCTTTGAGTTCAGCTCATGATGAATGGGGACCAAAACAAAAGTGTCGCGTTTTATAATTTTAAGTGTATATGTTTTTGTTTGGGGGCTTTGTTTTGGAGGGAAATAAAGGTTTGTGGCGTGAGAATGAAGCAACAAATGCTCCAATGCTGTATTTTTTACAGTTTGGTGTCCTTAGCTTTGTGCTTAAACAGCATGATGTCATTTTTCTACTAAGTGTTTGTGTGAAATTTAAATCACGTGCAGGCCATGTGCTGCAGCGATCATCTGCACTGTTGCCCTAGCAACACAATATGTGACCTGGAGCATGGGGTCTGCAAATCTGGTGAGACGCACATGCCACTGCTGAAGAAGATCTCTGCCGTACACAAAGACGGTAAGCAGGGACTAAATCACGCTCTTATAGATTTTTAATTATCATACTGCTCGAACTATAAAGTGTTTATGTTGTAAAGTCAGCTGATGTGTTCTGACTTCTCCTTGTCAGTCGAGTGTCCAGACAAGAAATCAGCATGTCCTGACCAGACCACGTGCTGCCAGATGGCCAGTGGCACATACGGCTGCTGTCCTTTACCCAATGTGAGTAAACTGTTCTAAAGGAGAAGCCAAACCTGCAAGACAGAGTCTGGTCAGAGTTGGCCTGTTTCAATATAAATCAGCAGGATGGATGATGAAACATGGTGTTGCTCACAGACCGACAAGTGAACTGCAACAAATACTCCTGAAGTTGACACGGTGGATGTTTGTCAGACCAGAGAAAGTACCACACATGTCTCCCAGTCATTCCCTTCTTCTTTGGATTAGGCAGCTAGATGCTACAATGGTGCATTGCTGCCATACTGTTTGTTAATAATGTTCCTTTTGACCGTCATATATTTTATATAGCCCAAATGTTTCTAACTGCTGCTGAACAGCTTCCTTTTTTTTGAAGTGAGAAATTGTGCTGTAATATGTAATGAACTTTTGCTTCTGTTAAAATGGATTTTTATACAATTTGGTATAGAAAAAGCATTGTTTAGGAACTGGTATCCAAGTCGAGGTGTCATTTTGAACGATGCCCTGGTATCACTGTAGCACAAAATCACAAAGCTGAGAGAAGAAGAGTTTCACATGGAAAATGATGCTTCATTAAATCCAGAATTATAATCAAATGCTCAACATTTTATGACACACTTTTAATTTGAAGGATAAAAAATAAATATTTTCAAATGTAAAAGTTGGGGAGAAGGTGGCCATTCAGAGGACAAAAACTGCAGAAGAATCACATCATCTGTTGATCATTTGGGTAAATGTATTTGCAATCAATAAGAGGCTGAAAGATCTGCTCATCTGGGAAGAGGAAAAGTTAATTTAAAGAGGTGGTATTCTGCTTTTTGCCTTTTTTAGTGCGTGTAATAGGGCTTTTTCATTTTGCAAACCTCAGTCCAACCCAAAGGGAGTTCCCAACTCCCACAGCCAACTCTGCTCTGAACTACCTGAGAACAGCTTGTTTGTAGTCCAGCCGTCTCTAAATGCTAAATGTGCCTCATATAATGCTCCCCAAGCGGCTACTCCGACACGCCCTCAAAAACATCGGTGTAAAAACATTGATCTGCAGCACACAGCTCTCCTCTCCCTTCCAAACACTAGCTACCCTCCAGGCAGTCAGTGGACATAAAGTTGTTCCTGTGATGTAGAGACAGAGCTCAGTTAAAACTTTATGGATGAAAGATACTTTTGTTACAGATTAATAACTCACCACTCTGAAACTCTCGCTCCAGTCCATGTTGCCAAGCTGGTCGGCAACATGTACAGCTGAACCGAAGCCGTGTTTACCGGCTTCTCACTGACCCGCCCTGTTTTTTGAAAATTAAACCATGTAAACCTGTTCTGGTACAACCCATAAATGACTTTGATCCTGAAAATGAGCATAATACCACCTCTTTACATAGTTGAAATGAAATATAACATAAGTTTTATAGATCACAAAAGAAAATTTAACCTAAACCAAATAAAAAAAAATAAAAAAAACCCTACAGGTTCTACATTTTAACAAGTAAGGCGATTAGATTATGAGTTTCACGATTGGCTCTATGCTTACTTAAATGAAGTAGCTTTGTATGGTTTGAAGAACGGCACTGACACGAAATAATAAAATGCCCAAGTGAGAGTTCAGAGGAATCAATTTGGATCTGAGAGGCTTGAATTCACCCTTATTGCTGAATGTATTGACACTGATTAAGACCCTTTCCTCTTTTCTTCCAGGCCGTCTGTTGTTCAGATCAGAACCACTGTTGTCCTGCAGACACCGAGTGCGACCTGTCCCACAGAGCCTGCGTGTCCACCCTGGGAGAGGCCGCCATGGCCGCTAGGATCCCGGCTGCTGTTACAGGGCTGGTGGCGGTACAGAGAAAAGGTCAGAGCGGGACAGTCTTAACAGCAGGGGAAATCAGTCTTAAAGCAAAGAACTGTGAAGTCCTGTTTTTAAATTGTTCATTTACATGCGCCCTGATCGTAATGTTCCGATTTTATCTTTTAGTTGGTGCTGTTCCCTGCAATGACTCCGTGGCCTGTGCTGATGGAAACACCTGCTGTAAATCGTTGGGGGGGAAATGGGCCTGTTGTCCACTACCTGAGGTACAGACATGCTGATTTATACAATAATAATAATGATCACACAGACAGACTCGTGATTCATCTGCTGTTTGTAGAGTTTCCTGCTCAGACAGACATTACATATAGTCTTAATATTATTTAGTTGCTAATTAACACACATGTGATGCAGACCGGTCAAGATTGTGTATCTACTGCAGCTTGTTTGTTTCTCGTCCGTGCAGGCCGTGTGTTGTGAGGACCGCCTGCACTGCTGTCCACACGGCACCACTTGTAACCTGGCAGCCTCCACGTGTGATGATGCCACAGGCGGTACCCTGATGCCCTGGCTCAGCAAAGTGCCCGTCTTTCCCTTAACGAGCGATAACAGCAAGTGCGACAAATCTACGTCGTGTCCTGGAAAATCCACCTGCTGCAAGACGGCGAGTGGAGACTGGGCCTGCTGTCCTCTACCTCAGGTAATATGGCGCTGGAGTGGTGACACTGTTAATGACAATCTGCACCGCCAGCTTTTTTAATACATATATCATCACTCAAACATACTAATGTAACTTTTGACTGTCACAGTCGGGTGTTTTATGTTATTAAGAGTACCCTAATTAATATTAAAAATAAAAATATTAGATACCTCTCAGTATAATGCAGTACTATTCAACAGTACCACAAACTTCATCCTCCATAATCATCCTATGTGAACCCTAAAGCTGGCCACACACTAGAGGATAATTGGGTCAGATTCTCCCCTCCTGATAATCCTGGTTCCCTCTTCTCAGCCTCAAGTTCATCCACAGTTTGATTCTCTTTTTTTTTTTCAACCAGCTAACGACGACAGTCTGCCTCCATGTTTGCTTAGTCTGGGATGTGTGCTTTCTTAAGATTAAAATATTAAAGATTAGTTAATTCTGCCGTTATGTCTGTGGCATCCCACATTTATTTTAGATAAGATTATAAAATTTTCCTTTGTTTCTTTTTTCTAATCTTTTTTTTAACACTTATTTGCTTATTTGTTATTATTGCAAATCAGCCTTTCAGCAAATATGCCATCGTCATATTTCATTGCATTCAACATGTGCAATGTGACAATGGATCAGAGCATCCTCTCGATTATTTCAGATGGGATTTGCTTTCACAACTTGATAAAATGTGGGCTGGGCTAAGCCTGGAGCTTTTAGTGCCTCAACTTGCATGTAAAACAATACTTATCATTTACGCTGGGGACATGTCCCCACCACTTTTTTGAAACGGCAGATTTTTTTCCCCACCACTTCTTTTTTTTTTTTTTAAAGCAAAATTTGTTAAACAAACGTTCTGGAAAAATAGCTTGCAGTTAAATAACAAATGCCTTTAAAAACTTTAACAACTTCCTGACACAGTTTGTTTTTGGCCAAGTTTCCGTTCTCATGTGAACATGACAAAGAGGAGGGGAGACTAAATCATGCCTACACATGTGTTGCCTCAGCAGGGATGATATTGCATGAGAAAAGTGATCTACAACAGAAACCTATCTGAAAGCAACACAGAATGACTGACAGCTGCACTAATTTTTAGTATTATTAGAGATATATCTTTTGAAATGTCAAAATATATAAATATAATGTGTATAGTGTTTCCACCATAAATTGGTTTAGAAACTTTCACCAGAATGCAGGAAATGAAGTGTTTTTAAAGATCAAAATTTCCTGGCGGAGGTCCCCCCAGACCCTCGCTCATATATCTCGTATCGTGATATCTCGCGAGCTAAGTGTCTCTTCACACCCTAAACTGAGCCCCTTTGTCCCCACCTCTTTTCAACACAGTGACACCCTTGCTTATCACAGGCTTTCAGTTGTCCATATGTATAACGTCACAATTAACTTTTTTGGTTTTGTTAACGTTTCAGTATTTAACAGAGCTTGATTTGTGGCTGCAAAGCATTATGATGCTGGAAAATCACCCCGCCTGTGTGTGTGTTCCTGCCAGGCTGTGTGCTGTGACGACCACGTCCACTGCTGCCCTCATGGTACGGTCTGCAACCTGGCGGCTGAAAGCTGTGACGACCCGTCGGGTTTTGTGCCCTCCCGCTCCTGGGTGGAGAAGGTGTCCGCTCTGACCTCAGAGAAACGGGACGAGAAATGTGACAAGCAGACGATGTGTCCAGGAGGCACCACTGCTGTAGGAGCAACTTTGGACAGGGGCCTGCTGCCCCTTACCTCAGGTCAGTAGAAAGGGCCTGTGAAGGCGATGTGCCTCTGCAGGTCAGATGACGCTGGTGTGCTGATGGCTGAGGGGACGTTTGTTCTTGTGTCAACTGTAATAGTTATGAAGTGAGAGGAGGTTTTACAGGCTTCCAGGATATAAAAGTCCTGTTCATTTTCACATAGTGTTAGATAACTCACAGCTGGTGCACGCTCAAACAGACATGAAACTCTCTGGCGATGAGAAAATATCTGGTTCTTTGATTTAAAAAGTCGTACAAGATGCCTGTGGACAAACTGAAGGAGAGACTCCCAAGGAGCATTTCGGTAAGAAACATCCAGTCGCGGAGCTTAAAATACTGTCGCACCACTAACGTTGAGCTGAAACCGAACTTTGTAGAAACGTGATAAACTCTCAGCAGTTTTAAATTAGGCTCCATTCAGATTCAAATGCTTCGTTCACAATTGCAACGAGAAAGCACTCTGAATTTGCTGCAGCTTTGATGCCATTTTTGTACAGACCATAATTATGAGCAGCCAAGGGGGGGGGGGAAATATAAACGCCAGCCTTTTAGTAAAACTACTTCTCAATGATGACAGGAATTTCTGACAGCATTGAAATCTCCCAGTCGGCATAAAGAACTAGGAAACTCTTTGGCAAAATGGCTGCACCATCGCTTCAAAAATAAAATGCAACTGATCAGCTAATGGAAGCGGCTTTACACTGTTTGCCTGCTTTCACTTGTTAACAGCTAATTTAGGCTTAATTGATCTTAGAATAATGTATGAATGTATCTACGTCAGACTAATGTGAGGTTTGTTGTTTTTCTTCCTTTCAATTCTGCCGACTGAAGATGCCAGTGAGAGGCGTGAATGCAGTACGAGTCACGCCTCTGATTTGATTTCCATTAATGATGCTGGCTGATGCTCATTATTACCATTATGATGTTGCCACCAAACTATGTTTCGGCCAAATTATCCAAAGTGTAAATAGGTAAAACTAAAGGGCCTGTGTCCACCAAAGTGTTGTTTTCCTGAGGCAAACGTCCTTTTTTTTGTTTGTTTGTTTGTTTTTTTCCAAGTGCGCTTCCAAAACGCACCAGAACAGCAGCTGGCGTTTTCAGCTGGTAAAAATGCTTTGGTAGACATAAATCTTAAGTACCATGAAATCACCCAGGAGAGAGAACTTTTTTGGAAGTTATGTTGCATAAAATCTTCTTACATCTGTTCAACTGAAAATCTGACATTTACAGGGATTTCATGCGGCATTGAAGAGCTATTCAATCTTGTTCTTTCCAGGTGGTGTGCTGTAACGATCATGAGCACTGCTGCCCCAAAGGCTACACTTGTAACGTGGCTGAACAGACTTGTGATAAGCCCGGTGGCCTCAGCCTGCCCTGGCTGCCGAAGACACCGGTCCTGAAGAACGAGCCCGGTCAGGCTGTTTCCAGTCCAACTCCGCCGGCCAAGAACATGTGTGACGCCCAAACTAGCTGCCCCAGGGACACGACCTGCTGCTTCATGAACGTGACCCACAAATGGGGCTGCTGCCCTCTGCCAAAGGTAAGTGATTATTTAAACAGCCTCACTCACCCACAAAACTAATAACATGTTACGAGTTACCTTTGCTGTTCCTCAGGCGGTCTGCTGTAAGGATGGAAACCACTGCTGCCCCAGCGGTCACGTCTGTGAACCTCACCGCTCCTCCTGCTCAAAGGGCCCCCGTGTTATACCCTGGTTCACCAAACTGAGCGCTGTGACCGAGCGGGCGCCCGACAGACGTTAAATGTGACGACAAGAGCAGCTGCGCTTCAGGAACGACCTGCTGTAAACTGCAGTCAGGAGAGTGGGGCTGCTGCCCTCTGGTCAAGGTGTCTACATCACATGACTTAGCATTTATGTTAGGATGTTAGTTTGATTTTAAGATCGTATGTTTTAGTAACTGTGACTAAACAGCATTATAATATTGTAGCGCTTGATTGGATCAGATTTCAGCTTTAACTTTCAAACAATTGCAAAACATGCAGTTGTTTGTGCACATACAGTACAAGTGCTCAGCCCGACTTCCTACAAAAATATTATATTGTAAACGACAACTTGGTCTCTTCCAAGATCCACAAAAATCTGCCAAAAAAATGGGTATTTTCTAAAACGCAACTAAAATCTTTTATGCTCATCCAGTCAGAAGAAGTCAGCAGAAATGAGGGACATTTTACTAAAAGCTTATTTATATTTTATAAATCATCATATAATTTACAATAAAATGGACTTGGTACAAAATAAACCTGCCTACGTAACGCCTAGTATCAGCTGCGCGCTGCCACATGTGACAGAGGACAACAAACACCGGCAGCTGCTCCGCCATTCATCATAAACTTTCATAAGCTTTAAAACTTCATACAACAAGACCCAAACAAAGAAGCGCTGAACGTAAAATAGGTTAGTAACCTGAGTAACCTGCTTCTTGCTTCAGCTACGACCTACCAGAGGTTAACTCAGACTGTCGTTCGTTATGAAAAGATGAACGAGCGTTTGTTTACTTGCCAAACTTGTGGTGGTCGATTTAACGTAATCATTTACGTCCCGCTGGCTGCCATCACGTTAATTATTGCCATCTGCTGCAAACATGTTACAGGTTTATTGTTGATCATGTAACTTTATAGTTTTATTTAGTTAACTTTACACTGGGTTTGAGAGTCTGCAGGGTGTGTTGACTTACAGTAGTTACTAAGATGTCAATAATTGCATTGCACGTTACATGTTTGTGCTTTGTAAGTGGAAAAACAGGTTACAGTTACAGAATACCTTTTATAGCCATGCAGTTTTATAAGCAGCCTGGATTGAACGCAGCAGCGGATACAACATTCATTATAACCACGAGAGACTTGAGACTGTAGCTTAAAGACTTGTGAGCATCTCTGGCCAGTGGTAGTGTACATGAATGTAACTGTGCACCCACATGTTTGACTTTTAGCTGAAAACAATATGTGCGTTAAAAACCCAAAATATAATATTATAACAAGCCGCAAAAACCAACGGTTTATCTCGATGCACCAACTCCTAATATTCACATGCAGGAACAGGAAGTGGATGGAAACGCACACAACTTGAATTTTCTTTTGGTTATTCAGAGATGTCCCCTAACAGAGTCTATGTATGTTCATGTAAAATGTCCCATTTAAAGACCTTTCTAGTGAGCCGCTGTTCAGACCAAAGCCGGATCTTCTCACATTTATGTAATTTAATATTATACATTTGTGGTTTAGTCCAAATTAACAGCTCTGTCAGAGGGCATAAAAACTGTTTAAATGTAGTGACAGAAGCGACAGCTTTCAACAGTCTGTAGTCTGATACGAGCGTTTTATCCTGTCTCCCTTCAGGCGGTTTGCTGTGCAGACCATGAGCACTGCTGTCTCAGGGCTACACCTGCAACATGCAGACTGGAACATGCGAGAAGAAGAACCGCGATGTGCTCGTCCTCGCCCTCCCTCAGAGCAAAGTGGTGCAGCCGAGCCGAGAGGCACCGAGGGCGACGCGGACGTACCATGTGACAGCACGGGGGAATTTCACTGCCCCAAGCAAGACACGTGCTGTAAGATCTCAGCCGCAGAGTGGGCCTGCTGCCCCTCGCCCAGGGTACGTCCACACTTCACTCCAATCTCTCACACGAGCACTTAATATCTTGTAGGAAAGATTAATTTGGTAAGCTCGTTTATTATAATTATAATGATACACCTTCTTCAAAAGCAACCCTTGTTCTCGCCTTGTTGAACATGCTATGGTCCCATTTAGTGTTTTTTTTTGTCCCATTTATTCTTTCATATGTCTAAATATTGCTTCTAGAGCTCTTGGAGGGAAGCAAGAAAGATAAACTATACATTAGAAAATGGAACTGAGGCAATCAGCAATCAGCCTACAGAGGCGTTACATCTCTGCAACAAGTTGTTACCCAGTTGTCTGAGAATCTATTTCTTTACTTTAACTTCGAGGTTTAGGAAACTGAAGTTCCTCTTAATATCTTAATCTAAATGATGTTTCTTCTTTTGACAGGCTGTCTGCTGCTCAGACTCAAAGCACTGCTGTCCTGTAGGATACTCATGTGACCTGAAGGCTGGAGGATGCACCTCACAGAACCAGCTGACCTGGGACATTTTGTTCGGGGACAGAAGAAAGACTTTGTCCCCATGGACTTTAACTCCACTTCAACCTGGATCCATTACATCCATCTACAGCTCATATTGTCCACAGACAATAAGGCTGTTGCTGCTTCCTGTTTGTTTGTCGTTCATGGAAGTTTCTGCACTCCTGAGTATTGGTGGTGGTGGTAGGTGTGGAGGAGACTTTGTGCAAGACAGGGGAAAAACATGCGCGCTGCCGTCATCTCTGACAATTATAAAGAAGTTATAATGAAATAGGAAGGAATATATCCTGTTATTTCAACATGTGTGACCTTGAAATGTGTGCAGAAGTCTTTTAAACGTGTTGCACCAGGCAGAAAATATTTTATCACCATCACACTCGCTTCTTGATATAGAGGACAGTAATACCACAATGAGAAGTACAGCAAGTGTCTCGTTAAAGGATGGTGTTGGTGATATTATATATTTATCTTATTGTCAACAAATCCCATGAAAAGATCAAAACCAACAATGAGTTCGTCTCTCAAAACGTCCCTACTAACCTTAATTGCTTCCCCACGCGCCATCAGTACGCATACCGGAAGATGACAAGTCACTTAAGTTCAGGTTCTGCCGTTATGTCCCCGTTTATCCTCCCAACACACAAGAAAGCCCTGATATCGAGTCCGAAAATGACAGAGAGGAGATGAGGCGAGCGTAACTGAAAGCAAAAAGTTTTTTTGTTTCCTTCTCAATCCTGAAAGGTGGTGATGCCCTGTTACCCCTCGTACTCATGACCTTAGAAAACAGTAGGTTGTTGTTGTTGGGGATGTGACGGGGACTTGGGGACACAGGCTATGCCAAGTTCAAGGTAAATAAAGTTATCAGGCCTGAATGATTTTGAAGAAATGACTAATTGACTAATTATTTTGACTGATATTGCGATACTAAGGGGAACGATCATTTTTACATAATTATTCTCATTTACATTGAAAATATTAGTCTCTAGAATATGATGTGCGGGCTTGGACATCTCTGCAGCACGACAATATTTAATTAAAAACGGTATCGTGACACACGAATCACCTCTTTAACAAATATTGCTCCTCGTGCGTTTGAAAATAGCAGCAGGCTATATTGCGATTGATTGTTCAGCCCTAAAAATGATACATTTATTATTTAGTTTTTCTGACTAATCGCATGGATTCCTCGCGCCGGGCTACCTGTCCGCAGCCCAGGACTTGGGAACCTAAGCTGCAGGACGCTGCAAGTGGGATAAAATAAATTGCATGGTAACAAAGGAACATGTTGGACAAGAATGGCGCTCTGAGGCACGGAGGATGAAAAGATATTAAGCTTTGATGCACAGATTAAACCAGTTAGTAGATGCACTCGTTGTTGGTTTGGCTCTTTTTTTTTTAAAGTTGATTTGTTCACAATAGGAAAAATATAGATTTTCAGCATCCGGCTTTATTGTTTTTGTATTTTCTGATCATTATTATTGGAAGTGAGTGATTTCCTAGTGTCGTTAATAAAAAAGAATAAAAAAGGAAACATAAATGTACTCGCTGTGGGCAACACTTGATTAACTCCTCATACATGACTGAAGTTGTTTCAAAGAATAGTAGCAGCATTTTCTTGTACAAGTTGTTGACTGTTTATCTGCTGGTCTTTAATGTAGTCGTTGATTTTTTTTTCGCCTATGATTTAATAAGAGACCCAGAAGAGGTGAAACGGATAAACGGTGAAGATGCATTTCAAGTAAAGCAGCGATAGATAGTTTCTTCAAATTTGAATTTTTTGGGGGGGGGGGCGGGGGGGGGTTGCCGTACACTTGGTTAAAGCGACATAAGCGATGACAGACTGTACAAGGAGCTTGTGCCTTTTATAATTTCACTGTAAAGAGGTGCTTGTCGGTCAGGAAAATTCATTCCAACACTGGAAAATAACGAACATGTATCTTTTGGACAGTTCAGTGTAGATTTCTCTTAACAAGCCAAGAACATCTCTCGTTCCATCAGCAGAGAACAAAAAGCACGGAGTCGATAAAGTTGTCAGAGCTACGCAGATGGAAGTTTTTGTGTTTGAACAGCAGTAACAGTCATTTTCAGTGCAGCAGGTCTTCATACATGTTGCCATTGGGTCTCTAGCTTTTGGAGTTTCCGAACACTGGGCTCTGTAAGATTGTAGAAATACTGCTCTTGAATCCTGTAGTTTTTGTTTTGAAGGACTTTACACCTCATGAGGAAGTTGTAATTTTATTAAATCCACTTTTTATGAATAAAGTTTGGACACACCTTCAAATAAATAACGTAAACATGCTCTCACCATCGTGTTGTCAGCTCTTCTCCTTTATTTAAAATGTATATTTATTTATTTATTGTTTCTTTTCCAAGCCTTTCAATGAGGAGTGTGAAATGAAGTTCCTCAAAATATCACTTTGGTTCAGTGTGATAATTAAATTCAGTGAGGTCATCCTTGAAGTTTAACGGTTGGCAGGATGTGCACACTCACACAACAAGCCCACACACTTCCTCTGGCCTTTTCCCCCTCCATATCCTCTTACCCCGACCCGCCTCCCTCTTCCCAGTCATCAGAAAGTTGTTATGACTACGCGAGTAAACAAAAGACAGATGAGTGGAGACTGTGGAGGTAGTGTCCCACTTTACTGCCAGTGCTGACAGTAAAGTGGTGCTTTATTATATCGTCTGCCCTCTGGTGGTCAGAAACCGAGTTGATGGCTCTTCTGCTTGAGTTGAAAACAAAGCAACACATGCTGTTTCAGCTCTAAATGAGGTCAGATACTCCTGCGGGGCCCCATTGTTGAAGACCGTACCGGACAGTTGCATATGTCAAAGCCCTACTGCTGTTTTTATTAGTGTATTTGGCTGTTTTGACTTGAAATTAATTTTGAGAGTTAAATTCAAAATAATTTAAAACAATTTGAGGCAAGAAAATGCGTAAACAAGAAGTTCTGCAGCGCTCATTTTAAAATGTCTCTACAAAATGTTGAATTTTGGGAAATACTGTCTTTGAATTGATTTGGTTCAAAGTTATTAAAAATAATGTTTTGTTTAAAAAAGGCAGGCCTGTCTGTCAAATCTACAACCAGTTAGCTTAGCACAAAGACTGGAAACGGGGGGAAACAGCTAACATTAGCCTTCATCTCATCTGTCCAAAGCACATTTTGGAGAATACGCTTATTATGTTTCTAGAAGGGCGTTGGATGAAAATATTGATGCCATTAATGTTTGTTAACTATAAGGCTACAGCTTGCAGACGCTTAGCTAAGCACAGAGAATGGAAACAAATAAAATCTGCTACCAGCACCTCCAAACCTCACTAATGTGTTGTATCTTGGTTTAATCTGTACACAAACAGAAATTTAAAGACGATTAAAGGCAATTTGTGGTTTTACCTTATATTTAAAGACAAACACGAAAGTGAAATCAATCTTCTCATCTACCTTCCTGCAAGAAAGCTAACAAGCATATTCCCCAAAATGTCCTTTGGACATGCAGGCTAGCTGTTTCCCCCTGTTTCCAGTCTTTGTGCTAAGCTAAGCTAACTGGCTGCTGGCTGTAGCTTCATATTATTTAAGAAACATATACGAGTGATATCGGTCTTCTTGTCTACCTTCCTGCAAGAAAGCTAACCAGCGTAATTTCCAAAATGACAGATGCAGGCTAGCTGTTTCCCCCTGTTTCCAGTCTTTGTGCTAAGCTAAGCTAACTGGCTGCTGGCTGTAGCCTCATATTATTTAAGAAACATATACGAGTGATATCGGTCTTCCCGTCTACCTTCCTGCAAGAAAGCTAACCAGCGTAATTTCCAAAATGACAGATGCAGGCTGTTTCCCCTGTTTCCAGTCTTTGTGCTAAGCTAAGCTAACTGGCTGCTGGCTTATATTATTTAAGAAACATATAAGAGTGATATTGGTCTTCTCGTCTACCTTCCTGCAAGAAAGCTAACCAGCGTAATTTCCAAAATGACAGATGCAGGCTAGCTGTTTCCCCCTGTTTCCAGTCTTTGTGCTAAGCTAAGCTAACTGGCTGTAGTCTCATATTATTTAAGAAACATATAAGAGTGATTAATCCTCATCTAACTTTTGGCATGTATTTCCCAAAAGTCAAAACAGTGAGTGAACAGAAGAGACACTGTTTGATTTGAGTGTTGATTTACTTAATAAATGCTGAAGAGGGTTTTTCTAATGAATCTAACAACAGTAAAGTTTCTGTAAGTAAATAAGACGAAGCTCTAAAACCTCGGTGAGGCTTTGCAGTTCTATGTATAGCAGATTTGACCCACCAACAGCAGAGAGGACCAAAGTGACAAAAAGCCATTGACGTGTGAGCAAACTTTCTCCTCCTCCTTTCTATTGGTCAGCCACTGTTCCCATTCAGATGTTGCCAGGGAGAGAGAGACCCTCCACACTAAATCACACCCACCCAAGGCACTTTTACACTCCCTCCTCTGGTATTTTGCTAATTCCCACAGGAATGTATAAATTCTAGTCATCTCTATTTGGGACAGCAAATGCGTTGGTGGAGAGAAGGCTAAACTAATAACAGCAGATGTTATTGTTTTTTCTGTGTGCACTTCACTTTAAAATAGACCCAATAATCAAATTAAATATAGAAACAAAACTTCATTTATAATATTCACTGTTGAAATGGTTAAAAAAACAAATCTGACTGATATTATAGCAGAGACAATGTATACCCACTCAGGTGAAACAGGAATAAACTTACTAACTTTAAATCTACTTATCACTCTTTAATTGTAAGTCGTGCATACTAAATGTGTTAATTTGGAACAACTATAAGTAAGTGTTTTTTAGAAATTCCTAAACGCAGTTTAAAGATAATCACAATATACTGTATTATAATGAATTTAATCAAAATGAAGTACCGTTATTGTAATTGTAATGTATTACATTTGAAAGATCCTGATTTCTATCATATCAATAAAAAAATATTTTGCTTTGTCATTCTTCAAAATTAATCCTTTATTATATAAAAAAAAAAGTACACTGAATTATATTCAACTTCAATATATTATATATATTATATATAATTGCATGTGCAGTCTTGTGTGATAAGATATAAGATTTATTGATCCCATACTGGGGGTAATTCACTTGTTACAACAGCTCCAGATACAACACAGCAAAAACAGATAAGATAATACACATTACATGAAAAATATTATATAGAAAATAAGAGTGATACTTAGGAGTTATATATTAACTAAATAAAGATGCGATTGACATGAACATTGCACATGTCGCAGCAGGAGGTAGTGGCATGTTGTAGAAAATAAATAAATATAATTGCACAGGTTAAAAAATCTATTCAGCAGTATAGTTTAGAGTACCGTTGTTGATGAATCACTATCATTGTACTTGTGAATTAATTATATACATATATATATACAACTTAACATTTATTAAGTGCACATAACTATGATATTTTGACACAATTACATTGTAACTATCATTATTAAGTATATTTACATACACTTTTTCAAGTAATGGGAGATCTTTTATTGTTTTTGTTTTTAAGTATATTTATATGCAGTAAATTTACTGCAGTAAAAACACTAGTACAAGTTTACATAGCCCAGAAGAGCAGAAGTAATGCATTAAATTACATACAGTACATTTATTATTATGTTTTTTTTACATAGTTTAGTAATCCCGAAAAATGGGATTTGAGTTTATTAAAATTTTGTATAAATTATAGCTAGTTTTTTTAATAATTGAAAATGTATTGTTGGTATAATTAAAATATGTTAATAATGCATGTGTAAATGTGATGTGTTTCAATTTAAAGTACATTTCAAGGATATTTAAAGGAAGACACATAATTATAACTTCAAGATGTCTCAGTTCAGCACGGTGAAAGTGCTGTTTTTTGGCCTCAAAGTTGCTGTAAGTGAAACGTTAAGGTTCAAGGTTTAGCTTTACTGTCATTATACAACTCAGGATGGCACAATAAAATGCCGCTGTAGCCTCCAATGTGTCATCAGCACATTGTGAGAATAGAAAACAATGCATGCTTTTAAGTACAATCAAAATGTATTATTGGTATAATTATAACATGTCAACAGCCGAAAAGATATCCAATAAAAGAAGCAAGTACCGCAAAATGTATTTAGTTTAGTGTTGGAATGTAATTAACTACATTTGTTCAAGTACTGCATCTACAGTAAGTTAAATAATGACATACTTGTACTTTACTTGAGTATTTAGATTTGATTCTACTTTAGACTTGACTACATTTTGTAGGGAAATATTGTACTTTTTACTCTGTCCTACATTAGACACTTATAGTCGCATATATCGCATTATAGTAATTTTGAGTTACTTGTACTTTACTTGAGTATTTCCATTTTATGCTACTTTATAATACTGTTACTGTTACTCCACTTAATTTATTTGACAACATTAGTTAGTACAGATTCAGATTAATGATGCAATATAATGTATCAATAATCTAATAAATGATGATTTATTTCTTTAGATGAAGCTACCCTGTAGTATATAAAGTAATTAAAATTAGCCGCACCTTTACAACATTAATGATACTTACATATTAATGCACGAATAAAATCTAAAATGGGCCATTCTGCATGATGATTACTTTTACGTTTGCAGTATCCATGACCTTTACTCGAGTATTTTTACGCTGATGTATTGAGTAAAATATGTGAATACTTCTTCCACCACAGATTTTAATGAGTTTAATTATAACTTTAAGCAGTCTTGTGGTGAAAATGCTGTTTTGTTGTCTTCAAAGTTGCGATAAATGAAACATTGAGGAGACCAAAGGAGATCCAAGTGTCACTGAGGGCATCTAGTATCCATCCAGAGGCGACTGTGTGTGGGTGTTGGGTGTTTGAGGGGGGGTTTAGGGGGCTGGGGCGACGGAGGTGTAAGAGCTCATAACTCACACACGTGGTCAACCAATCACCAGAGCCTGCGTGGGCACAAAGCCGGTAGGTTACACTTGGAGACTAACGCACACAGGACACAGGACAGACAGAGAAGAAGAAGAAGAAGGAACAGAAACTTGTCTTTCTGTCTTCGTACAGGATCACTGGAGCGATTTCACCTGAACCTGAGACAGGAGACAGGCCTCTGATCGTCCCGCTGAGGTAATGTCGGTGCAGAGTTTCACTTGGCTGGAACTTTAAACCACACTGTCGGTCTGAGTTTGTTGCACTGGATGTGTGTTTTCACTGTCAGGTCGCAGAGGGAAGAGGGGAGCGAGCTGTGTCGCTGACAGGAAGTGCAGTTAGCAGTGCACCATGGGAAGAGTTTGTCATCGTTTGGGAGACGGGCTCAGTGTTTAAGATCTTGCACATCCTGGATGTCTTAAATTAGGTGTCACCTTACTGCCAATAAGTTATTATTTATGATAGTTTCTTGACTTTGAGAATGTCCTCAGCTCAGGTGTAGATCTTTTTATTTTACCTGTCACCCTCACATGTATGTATGTATATAGAGCAGTTTTTATTTTCCACATGCTTTCACAGTTTCACGTCCTCACATTATCAAACAAAAGTACTTCAGATGTGATATCTCATCCGCCCTCAGGCTCTGTATGAGGACTTCAGGACAAGCTCAGTCTTTATGCATTGGGAAGTGTGTGTGTTTTGATCCCCCAGTATTCGCTGTCAACATGTGTTGAGGAAGAGAGACTTGGACAGCTGGCCGGCCTCAGTGGAAGGCATGCGGCTGCTCCTCTGCGTGCCAAATCTCTCCATGCTATTTATACTCCCCTTGCCAGGCTCACTACTGGTTCTGTTCATTCACGCCCCGGCCACGCCAAATGCCAGCACATCAAAACGCTTGCCAATCACAAATTTGATTTTATTATGGGGCTCTGAGGGTTCTTAATGCAAACTTAGTTTTACAAAGTTTTACAAACCACAAAAGGTGAACTATCCAAAATATTATATATAATGTATTTTAATATAATTATGGTGATATTTTTATATTTTAGTGTTGGTCTGTAGCTTCACCACATTCAAGTAAAATATCTCAACAATTATTGGATAGATTGTTATTAATCGTAAAGCGCCTTACTAGTCTTTTCGACCCCTCAAAGCGCTTTTACACTACATCCACCATTAATTCACTGACACACTAATACACTGGCAGAACAGCCACCAGGAGCAATTCGTGTTTCAGTATCTTGCCCAAGGATACTTCGGCATGCAGCCTGGAGGAGCCGGGGATTGAACCGCCAACCTTTCGATTAACCTGCTCTGCCTCCTGAGCCACAGCCGTGGTCTCCAGAGAATCCGAAAGACTCTGGTGATCCCCTGACTTCTCATCTAGCGCCACCAGCCAGTCATACTAAATATTCAGTGAAGTATCTTAACATCTACTTGATGTATTGGCACCAAATTTTGTACAGACGTGTGGTTTCCAGATGATAAATCCTAATGACTTCGGTGATCCTCTGACGTTTCCTCTTGCGCCACCATGAGGTCAAAATTTCACTTGTTCCAAATATCTGCAAAACTAATACAATCCCATCAGCCTCAGCTGTACTTTATGTTTAGTGACAATTATCAAATACTAACACGCTAACAGGCTAAACTAAGGTGGCCTGGATTCGATTCCCACTGTGACCCATCCACCATTGTGTCCCTGAGCAAGACACTTAACCCTTAGTTGCTCCAGAGGCGTGCGACCTCTGACATGTATAGCAATTGTAAGTCGCTTTGGATAAAAGTCAGTTAAATGAATAAATAAGGTAAGGTGTTGAATATTATGGCAGAAAATTGTGCCCTCTTACATTTAATCTTTTATGCATGATCTAATACTGTTACTGTTACTATTATTATTATTATTATTATTGTTATGGCTTGTAGATATATATGTATTGTGTTTTTACTTCTTCTATCCTCCTTATGTTAGTCCGTCCACATTTACTGGGGTTTAGGTCAGAGCTGTGAGATTGTTTTGGTGTTTTTCCTCTCTTGTTGTTCCTCTCCTCTCCTTGAATGTTCATTCAAGGCTGAGAGAGGATCTCTGTTCCCCAAAACATAGAAACCTAGACTGTGTGAATGATTATGCATCCCTTTGTTCTGCCCTAGGCAGCAGGTCTGTATACGTGTTTTAGTACTTCTCTGTTTATTCTCTTTTATTAATAAATTTTAAAAAGACAACAGTTGGTTGTTACTCAGTTATTAGCTTAATCCCTCACCAGCAAAACACAATTTCCACGACACTGACATAGAGGTGGTTGTTTTTATTTAAATACTGACTAATAGAGTACTGCAACTCTCAATTGCACAGTGAAAGCGCTTTGATGACTCCCCTTTTTATAGTAGCTGAGGGCTCACATGACTTTTGTCCTGTAATATCTTTTTAGTCTGAACAATGTTGGCCCAGATTTTCACATTCAGAAGGTTAAAACATCCCTACAGCTTTTTTTACTCGATACTTACAAAGCAATATATATGTGTTCTTATTCTCGTGTATGTTCTCTTTTCCAGTTCTCACAACGTAGATGCACTCCGAGAGAGAAATGGCCATACCCCGGATGTTTAACTCCAACACGCCGTTCGTCATCGTGACTGGAGGATCTGCACTCTCATTTCTTGGCAAAGAAGACGCCAGCCAAGGGCGTGAGGAGGAAAAGGACTCGCTGGTCCAAGCCATCGCCCCCCATCTAAGTCGGGCGATGCAGCACGGCACTGCCAAACATGTGGCCACAGAGGGGCATGAAGTGTCTGAGGATAATCCCTGTGTCTCCATAGTAGCACAGGCTGAGAGTAAGATTGCAGGTCTACAGTATCTGTGAATCTGTCACACAGGAATGACCACAAAGAGGCTGGGGGGGCACATTTGAACAAGGGATAGGATGTTATTGAACTGCATTATGGGACATATAGGATTCAGGGTTTTTGGAGCCAATCTTCTATCGGGGGCTTAAAGTCAAGATATTTCAGTCTAGCCTAAAGCAAAGACGCTGAAGTTTCAACATTTTGGGGAAAGTTGGATGAAAAGATCGATACGAAGTCCAACAGACGCATAAAGACTGAAGAGAAGGGCAAACAGTTACCTGGCTCTGTCTAACAAGGTTATTAAAGAATACTAACAAAATAAAATAAAAAACTAGGTGTGACAAATCATTGTTGTTGATTGAAAAATAACAAAAACAGAGCTTTACAAAAAAAAATTAACATTTAACAATTAACAAAAAACAACTAATTGAAATTGTATTGTCTGTTTGCAAAAATAACTCAAATGAACTAAAATTAGAGAGTGAATGTCTTTAGTTTCTGTCTTTTTCAATTTATTTCATGGGACTTAGGCCTGTTGGGTGGATATTAAATCTATCTTCTATTTTTATTTAGTCCACACACCTTTCCAGCTATCATGGTGGTGAAAGTTGGGAGAAAGCTAAACTATAATAACATTGACTTAAAGGCAACGAAATCCACCCACAAGCACATCTGGCTAATATGTTTGTTTAACCATTACAAAAGCAGAAATGTAAAAGCAGAAATTTACCATTTTGTTATGTTATGAGCCAGTTTCTTGGCCAGAGTCAATAAATCATTGGAAACATGACCCCCGTAAAATGGTTGTTTTTCACTTTGTTTTTTTATTGAGCTTTAGAGGTGCTGGGAGGTGGATTTGGTGGACTTCTGGACAGAGTCAGGCTAAGTGTTTGTTCTGTTTCCAGTCTGTGTGCAAAGCTAAACTAACTAGCTGCCAGCTATAGCATTATATTTAACGGATGGATAGCCGATGAGAGTGGCATCAATCTTCTCGTCTAACACTAAACACCGGAATGCTAAAAGGCGAATTTCACAAAATGGCACACTTTAGCTTTAAGGTATTTATCTTCGCCCCTCTTTGTAGTTTTTGGCTGAATGTATTCATGTTTTTGTATCGCAGTTTCTAACCAGTTTACCAATAAAACTTTTAAAAAATGAAGCTCTAATGTAAACTAATTGCTAACATTTCTCTGTCCCAGGAGAAGACTTTCAGGAGTTCAGTCCCACCAACACACAGTGCCCTTACTCAAGATCTCAGCTGCTCAGAAAACACAGGTACCTCACAAGATGCAATCCACACAGTGGCATCGATATGTTTCAAACAAATCACTGCAGAACACAAACATTTTAAAGTCCGAATTTGATATTTGAAAGCAACACATAGCACAAGAAGCTATAGTTACATGAAAATATATGTAAAAATTTACTTTAAGTTGTCTAAAAATTAAAATTTATTTCAGTGAGTACTGATTCTCAGACCTGTAGAGCTTCAGCTGGTATGCTGACCATGATATGTATCCTCTAATTTGCAGGTCTCTCAGCAAGGAAACTGCCCTCATGACTGACACAGAGGATGAGGACTTTGATGTGCACCACCACCTCCAGAGGAAACAACGCAGGAAAACCAGAAGACAGAGCCAGGAGGAAGAGGAACAACCTCCAATCATCCGCGGTCTGTGGGTTCAGGAGATCGACTGGCTGAAATCAGCATACAGAGAGATGACATCATCCGCTGAGATCATCCCGCCTCCTCCTCAGTTCACTGACTCAGTCTCACACCCCTGCAGCCATGGAGAGCTCTGCTCCTGCACATATGAAGGCTGCAGCTGTGCAGATGTGTGCGAGTGTGTCAGAGGATTAGAGGGTGTGTCGCTATCAGAGGACCAGTACAGATCAGCAGAGACAGATGACACATCCAGCACTGATAACAGAGGAGGCTCAGACTCTGATTGCAGCCTGGAGCAGGACTCCGAATCTATTTGCACTCATGAAAGTGAGTCAGACTCATCTTGTGGTGTAGAGGACGGCATACACGTAACAGATAGTTCTGGAGTTGAAGTCAGAATGTCAAATTTGATCTTTGACCTTATGCACGTGTCTGGTTTTACCTCCTCCTCCCAAACTGAGTGGGAGTCTGACTCTACAGGGTGTGTGCAAAGCCTGCTGGGAAATTCAGACTCCACCTCCACCTCCAGCACTCAGAATACATCCCAGTGTGCCTTTGGCTTTGATGACGTGAATGATGTCGACACAGTTTTGGACATCCTAAGAGGCAGAGTGACACATATGCCAAAGCTCTTTGTTTTACCTTTCTTCAGAGATTTGATAAAACAGACTCTGAATCACTGGAAGACCAGCCAACCTGTCAATGAAGGACTCATTTTTCATCATGTAAGACATTCACATTAGGTGTATTTACATTATTTTTATATTTGGGTCTGATATCAACATGTCTACATATGTCTTAAACACATTACAAGCTGAGAACGCAGATCGCTGCTCTTGTTGAGTCAAAAGTTTCAGCCATGCATTTTTAGCAACGCCACAAAAAGAGAGACATCAGAGACGCTTTGAAGGGCTACACAAATTAAAATAAGAAACTGGCCAAATCCGCAGCAGCAGAGGGAGAGATATCAAGACTTTTTAATACCAAATATGGGTCAAGCTCCAAAAATGCTGGATCCTATTTCTCTCTAAAATGTAGTGGAATAGAAGTTCTGAGGAATAACATTCAATGCTGAACATAAAATCTATAAACCTGGTGCATACATGTCAAATTTTTACTGTCAAATGAACCTTTTTTGGGCACTTGGGGGCAGAAAAACTAGTTAAAAGCACATCATTTGACATATTATCACCCTTTAAATTGTAATTTTGAATCTGTGAGTAAATAGTTCCATATTTACACATCCAGCAGACAGAGCAAAGTCCCATAACTTTATTATAGTTATGTTTAGGCATAACTGACAGCACTTGGTTGAGTGAAAGATGGCGGTTTGGTTTAATACAGATAAGGTCAGAGGTGACTTGAATCAGTGTCTCTGTCCTCTTGTTGCCTAAACCTAACCACAGACATAAGTTAGCCAGTTAGGACATTTGGCAACACATTGGGAAAACAATTTAATAATATATTATAAACAATATTTTCTTCCAATTTTAGCTCTGTTTTTGGTCTCCACCAACTCCTGAGGAAATGTCTCTCTTTTTAGCTGCTAGATGCTCCAATTTGTTAACAAGCTAGTGGCTGACTTTGTCTGCCATTTGGGTGCTGAGCAGGTATGGGCCATAAATACAAAACTATAAGCTCAGGTGATAATTGTTTTTGGGTTTGTCACTATGAACAGGTTCTTCTACATTATGTATCGTCATTCAATCATCATTTAATAAGTTGTTTATACAACATTTTGATTAGACCAGGAAACACCTGCCTTGATATCAATGACTGGGACGTAGCCAAAGCGCATTAAGCTTTCTGATTGTGTGTTGATTTACCTTTTTAACTTTTCTTTTTTCTCAACCTGGTTGTAATTTAAGCTGTCTTTTGCATGTTTACTTTTGCCTCCTGAAGCAACTTCAGCCCAACGGCTCCCAGTACAGGGAGGGAGAGGAGTACTGCATTCTTCACCACATTCAGAACGGCTCATACGGTGACGTGTTCTGTGTTCGGGACAAAAGGACTGGATTCGAATGTGCTGCCAAGAGGGTGAGTCATTTTTTAAAATCCGGATATGCACCACCCAAAGCTCTTTAACAATGTTATCCTGCTCCTGACACTGACATGATGATTGAATTAAAAGTTATTGAAATGTTACTCAGCACATTGTTGATTTCAGATTCCACTGAGTCACCTCAGCAGCGAGGAGGTGAGCACGTGGAGCGCGCTGAACTCTCCTCGTGTTGTGGAGCTCTTTGGGGCTGTGAGGGAGGGCCTCCACATTGTGCTCTTCATGGACTTAAAGCCAGGTGAACTTTCTTCAGTACCAACAATAACAAGCACAAATACTTCGTATGCGGTACAATGCTAAAGTCCTATGGAGTAAATATTTGTCCAAACCTCTTCAGCATGTTTGGCCCAGCTTCTGAAAGAGATGAACACCCTCCCTGAGGATTTGGCGCTGCACTACCTTCATCAGTCACTGGGTGCACTGGAACACCTGCACCAAAGGAAGGTCCTTCACCTTGATGTCAAAGGTGTGTTCTTGTTGTAGACAACGTGAAAAGTCTGGAGCACCAGATTAGTGAGTTTACAGCATTGGGACATTTCCGGTCAGTCGAGTCAAGCCTGCATGGGATTTATGTTGATAGTAGGAAGTTAACTCAAGTCCTGTTCTTTAAGCTCCACTAATCAATACTTTCATGTGAACGATGGATCAAATGTGTAACGTGAAAGGTGTCGCTAGTAGTGACGAACCCTCAGAAAATCATCACCGGCTCTACAGTTCTCCTCAGCTCTGCGTGGCTTTTGAGAATCTTTGAGCGTTTGGTTTTGGTTTTAAAGCTCACAACTTGGTTAGTACAGTCTCAGCGCTCTCATCAGCATCGTTTCCAGGCAGCTGCTTTCAACAAATAAAACCCATTGTTCGCTACCTGCCTGGCACCAAACAGCAGCTGGTCAAAGTGAGCAACTAGCTGGTGAACATTGTGGAGCATTTAGCAGCTATTTTTCTCAGGAGCTTGTGGAGACCAAGAGAGAGGGAATGTTGGACTTAAATTTGCTCTGTACGTACGTAACAAGTTCATCATATCATCTTTAGCAGGTGAAAATATATGTTTACAGCTTGGTGGCTATTAAGCTTTAAAGGCCCGCTTTAAAGGCCCGTGTGTAGGATTCAGAGGGATCTACTGGCTGAAATTTAATAAAAATATTCATTAGTATGTTTTCAATAGTGTATGATTACCTGAAAATAAGAACTGTTGTGTTTTCATTGCGTTAGAATGGGCCTTTTATATCTAAAGAGGGAGCAGGTCCTCTTCCACAGAGTCCGTTTCTACAGTAGCCCAGAATGGACAAACCAAATATTGTTGATATTTATTTATCAATCTTCCCAAAGTGCCATTTTAGTCTTAAGTGCTGAGAATTCATGAAATTTACTCCTACTTTTAAACTTAAGACTAAAAGCAAGTTATCAAATCTCTTAAAGCTAAGAATCACTCTTACTCTCCCAGTTATTTATTTATTTACTTCACGGGAGTAGTTGGCACATTTGCTGGCGTTCATATAAAGATAAACTTTTTAATCTTTCATTTATTAATGTGTAGGCCTATATCATAATGTATTCTCTTGAAAATTCTTTATTGTTAAGCGTGTGTTGAATATAAACTCCTCTTAGGAATTTCACCTTTCAATGTGAATTCATCGGAGAATATTCTTAAATAAGGAAATCTATTCAGTGATTGGTCCTTGGCTACATCGTCATCCAAAATCCTGTTTGCGGCACAGCAGTGTGTCGTAAATCAGCTCTAAGACTGACACTTAAGATTTAGTCCTACACTTCACTCAAACCCATGATGCTTGATAACTAACTTTTAAGCACAGCTTTGAGCCAAGATTTGTTTTTATTCTTAAGTCAATTCTTAGCAGTGTTCTTATGAGTAATTCTGAGAAGCTTGATAAATATGGGCCCTGATGCCAATAAATCCTGCGCACTGCTCCTTTAAATACCATTTTTAAGTACTTCTACTTCACTTGAACATTTGCATTTTATACTTAAACATCTTTATATTTAGTAAATGTCAGAGGGACATGTTGTAACTTTTATGCCGCTACATTTATTTAACAGCTAGAGTAACTAGTTAGTCTGCAGAATAAGATTTTAAAGAGTAACTCCAGCCAGTTTAATAATCCTGCTTGCCGCCAGTGGTGACACAGCATCATGAAGCCAGTGCAGCTGTGTTTGTCCTCCTTCCAAAATCTACTCTTGCTTCGTCTACTCTTGCCAATCCATAATTATAATCTGACATTTTTATGTGTAAATAATAGAAAATATCACAAAATGAGCACCTGTACTTTTGAATACAGGGCTTTCACTGAGTCTCTGTGTCTCTGTGAAGAACTTTGTTCTTTGTTTTGTTATTGTTAATTGTAATGTGGTACCTAGTTATGTTAGTTTATCCCTACTTTTACTTTTAAAAGGATGTGAATACTTCTTCCATTACTGGCCTCTGTGTACATATAGTCTTTGAACAGAGCTTCTCAGCACCAATCTGTAGACAGTTAATATTGATTCATTTGTTTTATACTAGATATTTTAGAGCGGCCTTGTATTTTCAGAGTTGAGCTTTGGTTTGTTTGGTCTGGTCTGTTGTGAGACCCCCACAGTGGCCCATCTCTCCATGCCAGGATAGTAGATTTGATATTATCAGCAGTACTTACTGGCAGGGAGGGAGCCCAGTAAACCTGCTGGTTTTACTGTCAGTTTGCATCACTAGGGTTGGTCCCTAATCCTAAATTGACATCTCACCCCTAAACCCCCAGTAATCCCTGCTGAGAGGATTGACTGGGAAGGGGCTCGCTCAAATTAGGCCCCTCTGTTGTCGTCTGAGCTCAGTGCGAGCAGATTCACTCAGCCAAAAGACATCGAATTAACCAGTCTCATCATATCAGATCTTCCTGAATAGGTGGAAAAAACTGTGCGCATGCTTTATTTTTGAAGCTGTTACCTTGTGCCACCTCACGACTGCTGTTCAGGAGCAGCAGAGGCTTCGGCCCCCTGTGTACCCGTCGCTTCTGACGGCTTCTGACAGCCTTATTTCTCTGTCAACTGTTTCATAATGAGCACCAAATGAAAACAAGCTGTCTCACTAAATCCTATGTGTTGATTTTATTCCAGTTGACAATGTGCTGCTGTCTGCAGACTGCAGAGACACATTCCTCTGTGACTTTGGTCTCTCACAGACATTAGATGACAGCGGACGGAGCACTAGGGCATTCAGGGGTGTGAGTGAAGTCTAAAAAGTCAGCAGTACATGTAATTAACATTAAAGCCCAATAATTTTGCTTGATATTCATTGATCACATTCTTTGATTCGGTTCACAAATTAACTTTAAATAGAAACAAAATAAGAGAAATAATTACTTACACTCTGTAAATATTTACAATTGATCCAAGTTCACTAAACACGTACTGAGAGAAATAAGCAGCTGTGATTCAAAAGGTTGCTGATCCATGAAAAGTCATGTAGTTGCTAGCTGGATCTTCCCCAAATGGTCAGTCTGACTGCTGATTATTGTATTATCTTGTTCTTTAGTTTCTTTAAAATAAAGTTAAAGATAAAATAACTGACAGAACGGGAAATAACTTCTGCCTTTACTATGTAAAATTTGCTGAAAGCATGCAAACAAAACAAAAAAATAAAACTCTTTAAAGTCACACAGGCGCATGATCATGTGCAAACCAGCCAGGAGAACACAGAAGGTGATTAAGAGGTAAAAGAGATTAAAATTAATTCACTGTTTGGCGACGTAGGAGCTGCCTTCCACGGCACAGAGACCCACATGGCCCCCGAGGTAGCACGAGGGGATCAACTCTGTGCCAAGGCGGATGTGTGGAGCAGCTGTTGTATGCTACTGCACATGCTCAACGGATGCCACCCATGGATACGCTACTACTCCCATCCACTGTGCCTGCAGGTGAGGGTCTTCTTTAACGTCATTGGAAAGTGTGATACATCCACCCTGAGGTGGAAAGAACTGCGTTGAGCTATTCGTGCACATTTCTTGTGATCTGTTTGTCAGATTGTCGACGAGCCTCCGCCTCTCTGGGAGGTGCCGTCCAACTGTAACAACTTCACGGCCAAAGTGTTCAGAGCCGGACTCCAGAAGGACCCTGACAGACGAGCATCGGCAAAGGTGCTCAGGAGGAAAACCACCAAGGCCCTCAGAGCAGGTTGATGTGTTACTGATTCGAGACCGATCTGATAATGTAAAAAATATTTATTTATACAATAAAAAATAATAAAAAACTATTTCTGAACAAACATTACAGCGTGTTTTATAACATAAAAACAAAGATAGTGGGAAAAAATCACATAAAAATGATGGTGGATTACCTAAGTACTGAATTACTGTACTTAAAAAGAAATTAGAGGCATATATACTTTACTTAGTATTAGTAGTTTTTTAGTAGTATTACTAGTTAGTATTTTCTTTTTATGCCACTTTCTGCTTCTACTCCACTACATCTCAGAGAGAGAATATTCTGCTTCACTACATTTATCAGTTTAGTTACTTGTTACTTTACAAAGTAAGATTTTTACATGCAAAACATATGAAGAGTTTAAAAAATATGATGTTTTGTTATAATTTAAACTAAATTAAATTAAGTTTAACAGTTTAAACAAGTAGCCTACAGCTGGAACGGTTAGTTTACTGACAGAAATTGAATTGGCAGCTGATTTTGATGATCTGTTTGTCATGTCAGCAACCCCTAATACACATAACCCTACCAACAGAACCTTAGTACTTCGACTCAGGTAGAAATTAAAATTGAAGACTTCTACATGCAGTGGAGTAATATTTAGCAAAGTTATCTCTTCTTTTACTCAAGTACAGGATTTATGTACTTTCTCATGCACTGCATAAAAAACTAAAATTAAAAAGGACTTAAAACCAGAAACAGGAAATCACCCCAGAGTTTTGTAAAAGTGCATTGCACTAATCAGGACTTCAGACTGGTGTCTTTAAAACCAGTGAAATATTTGCAGTGACCTGTAGCTGATAAAAACAAAACTGTACAAGCTTTGTAACAAGGTGATTAAAATGTAATTTTAGCTACAAAACCAGGTCAGAAATGAGGGCCAGTAAAGATTTAATTGAAGAAAACTGGTTGTCATTCAGTTTTTCACGTCAGCTAGACATTTGAGAGCAGCATACTAAGGTCCGTGGGCTTTAATGGAAGGTATAGCTGCATGTTGTCTGCATAAAAAGTAAAGGAGATGGTATGTGTGGGAAAATAAAATAAGACACAGGATTGACCCTTCAGGCTCTCCAAATCTTTTGGTTGTCCGTTTTTCAGAAAGGAAACCAGAAACCGTTTTGATCTGAAGTACCTTACTGTGACGTTATCTGCATCACTGAGGACTCTACTCTCTATTTGCTCCACAGTTGGGGGTCTGAGTCCCTGGTCTGTCAAAAGGGCCTGTGAGAAGCTGTATCACGGCAAGAGTCAGGATGAGGACACCCCAGGACCTGGGATCCCCGTCCTCCCAGCTAAACCCTCAGCTGCCGTCCCAGCGTCCTCCATGTACTGGGTGAGCCCCTGGAGGACTACAGCAGTGGACGAGGACAGCAATGACTGGAAGGATGGTGACTCGGACTCTGAAGTGGAGACAGATTCCCTGACTAGGGAAGAGTGGGAGTCCCAGCCAAAGTCACTGCAGGATTATTACGCTGCAGATGGACAAGACTGGGACACCTGTTCTGATTCAGAAGTCGATATATACATGGGAGAGGAGGAACAGATTCAGGAAAAGTGGATGAAAACTGACCCGGACTATGAAGGGGATGGGGAAGAGGAAGAAGATGAAGAGGAGGAGGAAGAAGAGTGGGACTCTTCCATTTCTACAGAGTATCTCCGTGCTCTCCGAGGCCTTTTCCCTGTGCTGCAAAAAGGCCAAAAGACAAATGATAATTCATGGGGATCAGAACCGGAGCTGGAATACCTCAGAGACGGTGAGTCGGAAAAACTCACGAGGACAGCTCATGTGCACAATCACTTCATTTCATCTGCTGCAACTACATTTCAGTAGGATACAGCATCTCACAAACCGATTGATCTGATCTAATTACTACAGAGCTTTTCCTCTCAATTGCACATGGAACATTTTTAATGTCTTTTCAACCTAAACTTGTGTCAAAAGACCCCCAAACTATGGGATAAAAACATCTTCTCTTTGTCTCATGCTCTGTTTTGTGCATGCAAACAAGCTGTTTGAATGTGGCTCCCTTCATAATGTCATAGAGGGATCTGTATTGCATAGGACCTCCTCCAGCCCGTCAGTGCTGTCCATCAGGAAGCTCCGTAAATTACCGAAGGTTGAGGACATCAAAGGGGAAATATTTTAATTATAAAATCTGATCCAGTTTCACCAAAATAAGCGTTTAAAGATGTGTTTTTGTAGAGTAATCAGTGAGGCCTTGTCCTGCATAGCCACACTTCAATTCAGCACTGTGCCAGCTAGGTCCTGGCCCTGGGAGGCTTTCTGGAAGTAGGTTTTAGGGAATGTAAAAGAAGATCCGAAAAATATAATTCCCATCATGACCTTTCAGGGGATCCCTATCTACCATCTCTGGAGCAAGCAACAGCTAGCTAATGCCTTAAAACAACATGTTTATTAATTCATTTTGTGGGTAAGGAGTTCCACATATTGATCCCTCACACAGAGAGACATCTGCCAAAAGGAGGTTTTCTTGAAAGGGAACCTTGCAAAGACTTACTGAACCAGACTCCCCAAGAAGTTTCACCTTTTCTCTGAGCACCTGAGGAGCCTTGTTATTTAGGGTCAATGCTGTGGATTGATTTGAGAAGTATAACTGATTGGTAATGCAGTATTACTCATGTTGTCTGGGACTAACTGAAACACCCAATATGTTGTCTGTCACTAGATGTAGCTGTAGGCACCACAATCCAGACCCCGTCCCCTGAACCTCGCGATGACCCTCCGTCCTGTTTTAGCTGCTCCGACACATCGCAGATGGACGCCTCAGAGATGGTGTGTTTCTTTAGATGCAGCCACGAAGGTGTACATGTGAACTGAACTTGAATTTCTCAACATTGCAAACATTTCTCTCCATTTTTAAGGACTCTGACCATTCGTCTGATGATCTGAGCTCTGGAGTCTTTTCCTCCTGCAACAGTCAGACAGACGGACACTTGGAGTGGTTGGCCTCAGCAAATCATCCCTCCTCGTACTGCTTTGAAGGTAAGATGGCAGGACTGTATTACATAATTGTGACGACGGTCGCTCTATCTGACTGTCCAGACTGAGGTCGCATTTCAAAAAATCTGACCTCTATCTGATTTGGACCACATATGAAAGTGTCCCGAATCTAAACTAGAAACAGTTCACACTGTTGTGAAAAAAAATCAGATCTGAGTCACTTTGTTATACGTTGCTCGACTGTTTTCATGGTTATTTGCTGTTCTGACGCTCCAGGTGTTGACATCTGGATCGAGAATGTCCAGGGTGAGTGTCTGAGGATTCGTGAACGTCGGCAGGTCAAAGTGGGCCATGTTGCTATAGGAATTAGTAACCAGGTAAGGACAAATAACTATTCAATACACAATGATATGACGTGTCTATGACAAATGGCGTAAACTGCAGGGAATTGAGGCAATGGTGAGGCAACGTTTCAAAGCGATATTTTAAATTTGAGTTATTTGATTTTGAATTAGGATTTCTCACTCAGGCTTATTGTTGACCGTTTCTCTCTCTCTCTCTCGCCTGCCATCGGTCTTGTGCAGAGTTTTGCCTGCATGCCGCGCGGGTCTATTTCAAGTAGCCGGCAATTTAAAAATGATAAATTATTCTTTGTGTGGTTCATCAACGGTGATAAATTATCCGAAAGTCCCGCGAGGTGCGGAGAGGTCGGCACAACACCAGTTAAACATTGAAATGTGTATAGTAACAGGCTGTGTATTAACTTATTGGGAGAAAACTGGAAGTTCTATGTAAAATCTGACGTTGAGCACCCCCATATCGCCAAAATGGCACAATCCTTGTTTTGCTGCGAAGCTTCAATCTCACAGTCGAATCATCGAATCTTCGACTAATCGGTGTCAGCCCTAGTGTCTTTTATCCATACATTTCCCATTTAGAGCTGAATTTGTAAACCATGACCTAATAATCATCCCTTGCACTGTCTGTGAGGATCTAAGGCTCCAAAACTGATTAAAGCAAATTAATATTGTACCAGAATCAGAATCAGGTTTGTTGCCAGGTACATTTTATATACGAGGAATTTGCCTTGGTATAAATCGGTGCTTACAGTACACATGAACGTAAATATAAATATATAAAAACTAATAAGATCAAAAAAATTACAATAATACTATAATACAATGCTGACAGGTATGTGCAAAAATTCACAACATGAGCATAAAGCACAGTTGAGCGTTGTTGTAAAGTGTGGGTTCAGGAGTGTGTTTGGGACCCGAGCCTTGTTGAGGAAGCCCGCTGTAACGGAAAGAAGCTGTTTCTGTGGCGAGAGGTTTTGGTCCTGATGGACCGCAGCCTCCTGCCAGAGTCTGTCTGTCTGAAGCAGTTTGTGTCCAGGGTGGGAGGGGTCCAACCTAGAAAGTTAAATGTGTAAATCTCAAACTATCTGATCAAAGAATTAAAACAAGATTATGAATCTGACCAGACGCAACAGACACATTTCAGTTAGTGTTGGTTTTATACCCACCCAACAAAAACTCACATGAATTCTCTCACATCCATCGTTCAGATCTCAGGGAAAGCCTTCACTTTGGAGACCCTGGACAGGAAGATGGTGCCCTTTGAACAAGAGATCAAAGAGTCTTGTCTGTGGCTGCGCTGTGTTCCTGCTCCTGACAGATGTCAGCGCTGGAGGTGGAGGGTCAGAGACAGCAAGCTGGAACTTCGAGAATGAGACGGACATATTTTATTATTTATTGTTGTTGTTTGCACTAACTAAGGCATTGATTATTCTAACGCCATGTGGACATAAAGATGTTTAGCTTCTGATATGATTGATTGTTCTGGGTAAATGTAGGATAACCAACGTATTAGGTAGGAATTTCATCAGTAGATATTTCAAAATGTGATTTTTAAAGCTGATTATCTATTTTTAAAATTGATATTCTTCCGTTTATTTTATTTTATTTTTTATCCTGCTCTGTATGCACAGTTTTCCTATACCTCTGTGATCTGGAAACTAGAGTTTGACGTGTTGTTTGGTGCCTTTTAAGGTGTAGAATAGGTGAAGCTGCTTAAAATAAGGACTATAAGCTCTCAAGACTTTAATACTTGAACGTCACTGACATTTTATATGTTATTAAAAAATGACCTTGTTGGCAAAGACGCTGCTCTCTTCTGCCACCTCTGCTTATTTTCCAATCACCTTCACCTTCTTCTCTCATTGTGTCCTCCAGCTTCGTTTGGAGAAGATTAATTTACACATAAGCTGGTGAAAATGCCTCTTATAGACCAGGACCTTATAGCCTACTGGAAACACGTACAGCACTAGTTAAGAAACTCGCTCTGCCTTTACAAAGAGAGTTCATGTGACTGTATCACATGTGTTCGAAATCACATGATTTTGACATTTCACATACACATTCACACCACATAGCGATGTAGTTTTTGGACAGTTTGCATGTGAAATGTTTTCACTGAGATCAGAATCAGAATCAGCTTTTATTGTCAGGTATGTGTACACATATGAGGAATTTGACTCTGGATTGTACATCGCTCACGATGTGCTTACTCATACAATATCACAACAATAAAATCAGACACAGGCAACAGTATAGAGAACACATACACACTATATACAAAAACAATATAGACAGATTGAGTGCAATGAGCAGAGTGCAAAGGATGCAGGAGTAAATTATTATTACTACTGTAAGTACATGTCAGAGGTGGATGAGATATACTGGTGCGCATACACATACATGTACACATGTACACAGTGCGATGGAGCATAGGAAAGCAAAGGATGCTGGAATAAATAAGTATTGTGTGCAGGTGTACTTGAGGTAGGTGGATTTGGTATACAATATGACAATATGAACAGTATGAACAGCTCTGAACGAGAGAATGAATAATAACTAATAAGTGGTAACCAGTAAACAGGTGGCTGATTAGAGGCAGAGTTACTGGGTTATTGCATAGGAGTTGTTCCTGACACTGTGAGTCAGAGGTCAGCTGTTCATCAGAGTGATGGCTTCTTCCTACAAGCCATCACTCTGATGAACAGCTGACTGAGATGTGAAATTATTATAAATTATTATAATTCAGATATGAACTGGTTCAGCAGGGACATTGAGCTGCCAAGTGAGGGCACTGAGGTCATGTCTGGAGGATGCTTACATTCAACAATTAAGGAATTCTACAACCTTTGGGCCACTAAATATGTAACTAGACTAATTAGTATATTTTCTTCCTAGCGATGTGGTGAAATAGCATTTAGACTTTCATGTTGGGAAATACTATTTTAAGAATATACTCTTACAGTTCAAGAATACACTTAAAAAAACTATATATATAAATAGTTGTATTGGGGGGAGGGTTGGATTCATAAGCTTAGTATTTTCCAAATGCTGGCTTTTTAAAATGATGTTTGAGGAATGTGGAGCTTATAAGGGCACTCAAGGAGCACCTCCTTTAGCAAATATTTACACATGGCCCACCACATTTTTACAGGCAAATATTTTACTTTTATTTACATCCTTGGCCACAACATCACAACTAGTACACGATTCTTTGTGTGAGGATTCAACCGGCTGGTCCTTCTGGTCTGAAACTAAATACAAGAATCACAATCTTACAGTGCACAGTGGCTTGAGGCCCCCTGCTTAGTGTAGAAAGGGATCTTTGTTAACTTTCAGCAGGTGTCCAGTAGCTCTGAAATGGCAAAAAGCCAACACTGGAGAAACTAAAGGGCCTTCTGCTGCTATGAAACAGGTGATCAAGCAAAAAGCCCATCATCAAATGGAAAAATGAAGAAAGCAGAAGAGAAAATACTCATCTTGGTTGCGCAATAAACATGTAAAGAATCAATGTCACATTTAGGATTCTACCACTTTTTTGTTTAGATAAATTAATATGCCATTCCCAAACCATGAGTATTAATCTGAAGCTGTAACTGCCGCATGTTGGAACCTGGCTGCGGGGATTTGCTCACATTCAGCCACAAGTGAGGTCCAACACTTAGTTGGTCTGGCTCACAGTCAGCGATCCAGTTCCTCCTAGAGCTGTTGGATGGGGTTGAAGTCAGTGCTCTGTGCACATTCTTCCACAGCAAACTGGGAAAACCCATTTGTTTATGGAGCTGGTTTGTGCACAGCGGGGTGTTTTCATGGTGAAATAGGAAAGAGACAAACACAAACTGATGCCACAAAGGGTGTTGGACTGGGCAGGGCACTGAGGCTACATCCACACTTCCACATTTAACGTTTTAAAATGGAGACCTTTTGCTACGTTTGCACCTCCCGTCCAGACTAAAACGGTGAATCGAAAGACCTAAAACAGAGAAGTTTGAAAACCGACCCCGGTTCTCATTTTAAAACTCCAGGTATTATTGCGGACAGGAGAAAACGGAGGACTTTAAAAACAATGACGCAGACTCTCACATTTGGCTTCCTGTTTGGGTCTTATAAGTCATGCAAAGCAGAAACACGACGCTATTGACAGTGTTTTTGTTTTTGTATTTTTATTAAAATATTTTGTATCGTGCAAATAACACTCATAGCCTATACTTGTATTGTGCATGTTGCTGTATTTACTTTGCCACGACTCCTAGTCTGTTGTCCGCCGCCACAGTCGCTTTGGACTCGTTGTCGGTCCATGCAAAAACATCTCTGATGTGGTTCTTCGTCTGTAGTAGTACTTTCTCCTTATATGTGCGTTTTCAGTTGTTTTAATATAGACAAAGATCAATGAAATGCAGCTAACACGCTGATGTCGACAGAGATCATTTTCCTTTTAAAACATAGTAGTGTGGATATGGCCTAATGCTGCTTTCAGACCAAAATCAAAGCGCGCGTTCGGCGGTGAGTTTACTTACAGAGTCAATGCAAAGACGCGTAGAGTTGTGATTTCCTTTCAGGCGACGCAAAGGAATTTCTCATGACGCTGCGTCGCGATAGCCTATCAACGTTGAGACAGTCCGTACATCACTGACGATTGAAAATCTGCAGGCCGACGAAGAGCTGCTAAACTTGGGCCAGAGGAGCAGGGAGCAGTGCTCCAGCTTTTTGAAAAAAACACCCGTAGTCGGTCTGGATTATGCTCTGACAAGTACGCCATTTGCTCATGGGAGGGAGCTCAGAGTAAACTGCTTTTATTAAATTAGCTTTTTACTTTTGTTTTTGGGATTACAACATTGATTAATCTTCACTCGAGTTTCTCAGCAGCTAGATTCCGTGCACATCTGGTTCGAGTGTTGTTAGCCTCATTTGGCACTACTTCATATTTATATAAAAAACGGGATAAAACTGGACATTGCTGCGAGAAAAGAAAAGGGGAGGTTGAACTACCTGGTGAGTTCAGAAAACATGTTTGTAACTTTATTCCAGCTATCGTTGTACTTTACTGTGACCAAGTTAGCATAGCATAGCCCTGATCGATTTTAGAAGTTGTCCTGCTGACAGACCTGACAAAGCATGAATTCATATGTTTAAGAAATCTGCATCATATTGTAGTTATTTCCGCATCAGTTTGACCTGTTTATTGCTATTTAATCACAGCAAATTGTTTACTTTGGGTTCATACAGCTGTAGTAATGGTGAGTTGTGTTTTTTCCGGGTTTATTCGTGTGATCGCGTTGTGTGTGAACGCTCAGCAGCTGTCCAGCGGTAAAACCCCCCGTGAGGTGTGAAGAAGGGCCCACAAAGATACTGCAACGAATAGTCGTGGATGTGATGAGGGGCCCATAGAGGATGCTTATGGCCCGGATTTTTGTGCAACGCCCCTGGCTGGTGAACTAAGGGGCCTTGCACAAGCAGTGAAACACTAGGCTACCCCTGTCCAAAGAATCCACTATCAGAAACACATCTTCAAATGACCGATCTCGTGCCATCATTACAACGACAAAAAACAGTCATTGTTTTGTCATTCACTGAGGCTGAAACTTGAATAAACTTGTGTGCGGCTCACTTCCTCGACATTTTGTGTGCAATGTGCACACAAGGATGTGCTCACGCTGTGATTGGACAGCAGGATATAAGAGGCGGGGCTTCGGTTACACCATTTGTGCTGTGATTGGATGAGGTTCGATAGTGGGAAGTGCTCGTACACCGGTGTCTCCCTGGGTTGCGCAAGACGCCATTTTGGAGTGACAGTGAAAGATAACGGAAAGATCGAGAAGCTGTCCTTCTAAAGGTAATAATCCGCTCAAACACGCACTGTTTTGTCCTTTAAATGTCATATTAAGCGAAGGGACTGTAGCTCTGTGCGACCGAGCCGTTTTATTTACCGTTTGACATGACGTCACGGTGTTCTCGCTTTACTGTGACGCGGCATTTAGCTAACGGCTGCTAGGTTAGCCAGCGGAGCTAAAACTGTTCCTGTAGCGGACAGATCAAAGAGCTGTCACCGAGGGTTTAACAAAGTACTGCACCTAAATTTCACCGACGGGTTTTTATAACATGTCAGCGTTACATGTGTTAAGAATGTACCGCTGTGTATTGTAAACTGAGGTGGAGTTTCGACCGTTAACGTTCGCGAAATTGTGTCGCCCGTTAGCAGCGAGCTAACAGGCTAGTTAGCTGAAGCATCCGCCCTTAGTAAAGCTAGCAGTAATCTGCTTCGACTGGTAGTGACCAGCTAACGCTACCCAACTGCGGCTACAATCCTATCTAAAATAATTAAAGTTTCTCCACACATTGGGTGCTTTTATTTTACATTTTACGGACGCGAACGTAGCTGTCGGATTGTCGGCCTTTTTGCTAAGGTCGAGGTGTTGTTAGCATGCTAGCGAGCTATCGTTTTGTGACGGCTCACACAGTATCGTTATCTCAGCCGCCAGTGCACACTGAGAGAGTTTGCCAGCCGGAACAGGCCTTTCTTATCTGGTGATCAGTTAGCTTTGTAGTTTATCCGGGTTAACAATGTAGCTATGCTTCTGGATATAGGATTTTTAAGCTGCTAATGAATGAATAAAGTGAGCAGAATTTCAGTAAAATGAGAGGTTAATGTAGAGTTAGGTAATGGTTGGTGGTGTTGTGTTGCTGACAACGTTACCGTACAGCTGTAAACCGTAACGTTTAACCATTATCTTAAACAAACATCACACTTGTGTTCCCACCATGTCACAGTCATTGTGCCCTGTTGTACTTCTGCGAAAATCAACCA